ACTGCTCTGAAAAAAATTTTCCTCCAGTGGAAAAGCTGCTGTTGTTGTATCAAACGTAACACTGAAGTGAACTTATACTCTCTTCATATTCCTTTGAAATGGAATCAACAATTGACATATTCCAACAAAAGCAGATACACTGAGATACCAGGTAGACAAGCTTTTACTTACAAACATCATCAACACCTTGGCAACATTGACTTTTCAATGAATAGTTCCTTCACCTCGGAGACACTTTTGTTTACTTTTATATCATTCTTTTTGTATCCACCTCTTCTCCGCATGTTGTTGTAAAATGTCGCTATTTGAGGTGATGTAACTCCATCTGTGTAGCGTTCTTCATTAAGTTGTCTATCTGTACTTCATATTTATTGACTGACGTATTTGTGATTAGTATTTCCGTGATCTTCATCTCAGTCTTGTGTTCACAACAACTTTTGTAATGGGTGTTGCTGATAAGTTGGCCTTCTCACTGCATGCCTAATCCATCTCCACTTCCACTTCCACTTCCTTCCAGTGCATATTTGTTCAGCAGTAGATTCTTGCTTCGTTGGTTTGTCGCCAGCCAGCCAGCCAGCCAGCCAGCCAGCCAGCCAGCCAGCCACCAGCCAGCCAGCCAGCCAGCCAGCCAGCCAGCCAGCCAGCCAGCCAGCCAGCCAGCCAGCCAGCCAGCCAGCCAGCCAGCCAGCCAGCCAGCCAGCCAGCCAGCCAGCCAGCCAGCCAGCCAGCCAGCCAGCCAGCCAGCCAGCCAGCCAGCCAGCCAGCCAGCCAGCCAGCCAGCCAGCCAGCCAGCCAGCCAGCCAGCCAGCCAGCCAGCCAGCCAGCCAGCCAGCCAGCCAGCCAGCCAGCCAGCCAGCCAGCCAGCCAGCCAGCCAGCCAGCCAGCCAGTCAGCCAGCCAGCCAGCCAGAGTTCCTCCTTGCTTATTCTGATTATTCAGACCAGCTCATCTGAGCCTCAGTTATGAGTGAGCGTAGGTGGCAGTTGTTGATGAATGTGTGTAGTTTGTTGGAAATGCCTTCCATATTGCGCCAAGCTTCTGAACCATACAGAAGCACTGACTTGACTGACGTTGGTGTTGAAAATCCGGATCCGGATCCAGATGTTGTTGACGCTTTATGCTGAGTGCAGTGCAGTGCAGTGCATTCGATCTCCACACTGGTTTCAGGTTAATGAACACCTGTCTTGCTGTCTTTCCAATCCTGACTGGCTTTGACATCCTCCTCTGTGCCTGTACCTGTGCCGCCTGTAGTTGAAACAGTGCTGCCTGCCTATATAGGTGTAGGTGAAAGAGGTTACTTCAAGTTTCTCCCATTGATGGTGATTGGTGCCTCTGTTGTTGTTGCTGTTGTTGGTTGGGTATCATCACCACCTCTACCTCTGTCTTCTCTACATTCACTTGAAGTCCCGTCTTCGCTGCCATGCCCTACTCATCCTCTTGTATGAACTTGTTAGTTTTCGCCTGTACATCTTCAAGTTTGTGTGACATTAGACATAAGTCGTCATGGGCGAAATCCAAATCTTCTAGGTTCTTTTCCGAGGTCCAGCATATCCCCCTCTTCTCACAGCTCCTTACTATTCGTTGCATCATCCATTCCACTACAATGAGGAATATCATGGGTGATAGTAGACAGCGTTGTTTCACTCCTGTCTCCTGTCTTCACTTCAAAAGCATCACTGAGCTTCCCATTGTGAATCACTTGGCATATGGCATCTTCATATAGTTATTGAATGAGATTGATAAAGGTTTGTGGCACTGGAACTATAGTGTTGAAGCAGTTGCCTGGCAAATTACTTCTCGGTCGACTCTGTCAATTGCTTTTCAAAGTCAATGAAGTTAAGCTAGAGAGTTGACTGCCAGATGACTATTGTATTAGATGTCAATAATAAACAATCCTTCCTTCGTCTCCATCTTCGCATTCCTTTTACTTTCATAAGTTTTATATAATATTCACCTTACATTGTAACAAGAGTTTTTGGTATTTCACTTCAAGCCTATTGTTTTTCATTTTGACCTAAATATATACACTAATTTAATGTTTCAATCTGTTTGTTTCTCTTCTGATTCCTTATTTTCAAAAAGGTCATTCAATTTATGATTTTTTTTAATGATATAAGCTCGAATTCAATTCTGTTATTTTAATTCTTATTAACTTGCACGCAATTAGGTACTTTTATATTATAAGATACTTCGTTCATAGATGTAATTCAAAGTCAAAGATAAAAACACTTTCTAAGGTTTTCTAATTAAAACAAGCAAAATCAGATTAGTAATAATGGAGATATTGGCTAGCAGTGGAATCCAGTATGAGTATTTCGTCTTATTTGGGACTCATCAGCTGGATGTACCTGCCTCTCTCTCTCTCACTGGGATTTGAACTTAAGGCCGATCGCTTCAAACATTAAAGTGTTATCCACTAGACCATGGAACCACGATAGCCACTTCTTGTGCAATAGATATAGTTTTAGTATTATTGTATGTATTATATCGTGGTTGATTGGACCGAATTGATCGACCTTAATTGACACATGGACTCCAGTGTGAATGCCTTGATATTACCTGTGTTCTTAATTGTATAGTAATGACGATGGTATAATACCAGTAATAACACTATACAACAGATTGTTACGGTAAACCATAAAAATAAAAGAGAATCAGAATTCTACCCTAACAACAGAAATGATAATTGATTTACTATGGTTTTCATAAAAGTATAATGTTGTACAACTGAGATGTTTACAATAGCCAAAGTAATTATAAACTGAGGTTTCATTTATGCCTCAAATAGTGTAAAGTTAATCAACAGCAAAAGTCTTTTTATGTAAATCAATTTCATGGAGAAAGAAATTATTGTCACCTTCATTTTTGTTGAGAGAAGAAAGTGGAAAAAGTAAGCTATTGGAATTTATTGGCTTTGATCACAATTGTAATGATCTTAGATCTTATCATACATTGAATATTCCCATTTAGACAATTAGAAAAAGATTGATTGAGCAAAGAAATATATTCCTTTTCAATTAGGTTCGTCTTCATCTTGGGCTCTACACTGAAACATAGGGGTTTACAATTTAATCAAATTACCAATCATCTGGTGATGTTTCGGAAATAATGATGTAAATAATCAATAGAGTTACTAAAATTGATAGAAACAAGGGGAAGGGGAAGAGGTGTACAAAGTAAACCTAGAAGTTACATCATATTGATGGCCATGGCAAACAATGTGATCGAACAAACTTCTTTTGGATACAAAGGGGTTAGGTTTGTGAAGGTGGATTGCAATCACCTCTGCTATGTGAAGTAACTGAGTGCATAATCCATGAGGTAAATTAATTGGAACCTAATGGATGATTTTGAAGGCTTTTCCAGTAACCACTTGATGTCCTGTGTCAACTAGTGTGCAAGTATGTAGCTCTTTATAGTTCTAATTTGTCCCTTGTTCAACCATGATGAGTAGTGCTCAGAAATTCGACGATTCTAGGTGTAAGAAATAAAAGCAAACTGCCTGATTCCGCCACTCCCATGTGCATTTATCAATTCAACTGCTACTGTATAGCGAGTTACATTAGGTGTACAATGAGGGGCAGTTCCATTGTCGAATTTCTGAGCACTACCCATCATGGTTGAACAAGGGACAAATTAGAACTATAAAGAGCTACATACTTGCACACTTAGTTGACTCAGGACATCAGGTGGTTACTGAAAAGCCTTCAAAATCATCCATCAGATTCCAATTAATTTACCTCATGGATTATGCACTCGGTTACTTCACATAGCAGAGATGATTGCAATCCACCTTCACAAACCTAACCCCTTTGTATCCAAAAGAAGTTTGTTTGACCACATTGTTTGCCATGGCCATCAACATGATGTAACTCTAGGCTTACTTTGTATGTCGAAAAATAGTAACTTGTTTTGTGTAAAATCAACAAACTTTCAGTAAATATACTTTTTTAAATTTATCTTATTATAAAATATAAACCATTTATTTTGAAAAACAAGTATTATTTAACCTTATCTTTTTTCAGTGTCTGTATACTGAAGGAAATGAGGCAAAAGAAACGTTTAGTAAAGTATTACTACTTATTTATGCCTTTTAAGTATTCGATTTCTAAGGTTACAGTATGTACTATAAATAAGTCAAATTTACCAGAATACACCCATAGATGAAGGTACACTACTTATATGAACCTTTGATGATAGTTGTATAATTTTCTGTTAAGCTAAAGTGTTACAAAATTAATTAATACAAAACGATACCGTTCTATGTATTTATTGATACGATTTCCCTTCTGCTCTTAGTTGAACAATCTTCAATAAACTCATTCAACAGAGATCATTATAATTCTGAAGACTTAAAAGAATATCATCTAACGTCTTCAATAAATACAAATAAGACCTGTAACATGAAATTTTATTCACTATAGTTTTCAGTCTTATGTAAGCAATAACCTAATTCTTTTCAAGTTGTTATTCATCGAAGACTGACATCAGTTGGAGGAACAAAGGAAACCTAGGAGCACTAGGACACTGTTTCGTCCTAGTATGGGACTCCTCAGCAGTACGCACCACGACCCCACCAGCAGGGACGAACCCGCAACCTTCAGCTTCCGCCACCAGCGCGTTACCATTCAGCTAGCCACTGAGTCAGAATCCAATGCTCCATATTTCCAACTTCTGTTAGGCTCACGATATAGCACAACCGCCACCCAGTGTCATTATTGAGTAATTTGTCCCCACGACCATCAGGCTTTGACTCCACTGGTCACGACTTGTCATTGGAACTTCGGAATACTTCTCGAAACTAGTCACCAATGAGCATCAGTTCAATTAAATTTTGAGGGAGTTGTGGAGATTTGGAAATATTTCAAGTTGTTATTCATCGTAGACTGACATCAGTTGGAGGAACAAAGGAAACCTGGAGCACTAGACACCTGTTTCGTCCTAGTATGGGACTCCTCAGCAGTGCGCATCCACGACCCCACCAGCAGGGATCGGGCCCGCGACTTTCAGCTTCCGTGGCCAGTGCGTCCAGTGCTCCCAGGTTTCATTTGTTCCTCCAACTGATGTCAGTCAGTCTACGATGAATAACAACTTGAAATAATTCCAAATCTCCACAACTCCCTCAAATTTAACCTAATTCGTATTTGTTAATTGCTTTTTTCTTTGTAAAAATGAAGATATCATTAGATCACTTTAGTAATTATTATTCCATTTATAATGTTGAATAAATTATTTCCTGAAGTTAATAATACATCAATTTATTTCAGAGTAAGAAGAAAGAGAGTAAAAATCACATTCTCACTTCGTTTACGATGAAGTCTACTAGCTAAATTCACTTCTGATGATGGTACATTAACTTCAGGAACGCTTTTCAAGCTGAATTTTCTACCGATCCCCATCTAAAGAAAGATTAAATAAAACACAAATTAAAGACAAAGGGTAAGTTTTAGTACATGAAAAAAATAATTAATGTATTATCATTCATGTTAATGATGGATCATGGCTAGCAGTGGAATCCAGGATGCACATTTCGTCCTATTTCGGACTCACTGTTTAGCTGGATGTACCTGCTTCCCACTGAGTGACTGTTGTTCCCACCGAGATTCCGACTCGAGAGTGATCGCTTCAAACGCCACCGCGTTATCCACTACACCAACGAGCTACGATAGCCACTTGTTGTGAGACGGGTATAGTTTTTGGTATATCTGTTTTCATATGATACCACGATCCATCATTAACATGATCAGATTGCTGACAATCTTGAGGCATCCACACAGGAGCCCATATCTTAGTGGAGACCGATCAATTCGGTCTAATCAACGACGGTATCATATAAAAACCGTCATATTGTTATCATTCATATTTTATTCATTCCAACAGATAAAGATTTTATGTTGTTGTTTGTATTATCCCGTCATTGATTGAACCGAATGGTATATAGGCTCCTGCGCAAATGCCTCAATATTACCTGTATTTTTCAATTATACATAAACGACGGTGGATAACACTCTGGCGTTTGAAGTGGTCGGTCCTGAGTTCGAGTCCCAGCGGGAAAAACATTACTCACTGGAAGGCAGGCACATTTAGCCAACGAGTCCAAAATAGGATGGAACGCGCATCCTAGATTCTACTGCTAGCCACTAACTATCATTAACAGACATATATTTTTCTTCAAATGTGACCTACCACACTACCCAAAAATGTATAGGTAGATCTAATGTGAGATTATAATGATATTTAAGAAACTTCAACGTTTTTAATTTCTCATTAGGAACAGATGTTGTTAGGTGAATGCAAACACAGAATACACTGTTGATTATCCAGGCTTTCAACTACAAGAGGGTATTTTTTAATACAGTGAAAGATGATAAGAGTATCATCAGGTATTTTGCGTCACTTAATTGAAAATTGAAAATACTATTTAAGTCCTGGGGAGGTATACATGAAACAAACCATTAGTAATGTTATAATTATGCCCAGTAATGGATTGAAAGAACAGATTACAGGTTTTTTTAACATACATCTAAGTGGCATCCCTCATGATTGGTAGAATTATAGCATGAACAAGGTCACAGTTAGACGAAGATTACTAAGCACAAAAGGCAAGTAAATTGATGAGGTGGTGAACCTTCACTGATTGAGGTGATGTGTAATGTTAGTTAAATTTAGATTTGGGTTGAGAGGAGGTTCAGAACTACTCGATAAAGAGGTGGCATCGGTCCATGAAATCTCTAACTGTTGGTCTGAGCTATGTAAACGGGGTGGACTACCAGGTTGAGGTTCTTGAGACTACAGAAATCAATGGTCGAAGATCCTTTATGACAAAGCATCGATCACAATGGTCCAGATGTATTCATACATTAGTGTTTTCTAAAGCTTGAACATCATTAACCATGATTTTCAAATTCGTTTTCCTTCTCTACACCTTTTGTATTCACTTACTGTTTGTATCAATCAATCAACCAATATCATCATTGGACCAGGCATTACTGCATAACGGTCCGAGTTGCCACACCCCATATCAGTACATCAAGTAGAAAGGTAGTGAGGTGAAAGATGAAGATAAGAGAATCCTGTCAAAAGAAATATAAACTATGATAAGGAAGAAAGGAAGAATGAGAAAATGGTAAGATTCGGTATAGAGTCGTTAAGATGAGGATAATGTGTGTGGGGATACATCTGCGCCACTGACATCGGTTCTCAGCCATATCAGCCAGAGTCAGTCTCCAACCACTGGTTCCTCTTGTCCCTTGGACCCCAACCACCTAGTCTGCATCGCCCACAGGGCTCAAACCAACATTCAGAAACTTCATGTTTTAGTCTGGCCACCTCGGGCCTTTTTCCAGTCTGTATCTACTTCGGCCAACATTGTCTGCTATTGTGGAGTGTGGCAAGTTGAATTGATGAACTTCTTTGCAAGGTTCTGGCATGTTTAACATGATTGGTTAGATAAAACACACAAATCATCAATATTTTTTTTTTATATAAGGAAATTGTTTCATGCGTTCTAAAACCGCCTTGTAACGGATATAATCAAACAGATTCGTATTGAAGAGTGGAAATGTTCATATCACTTAAAAAACATTAAATGTTATACACTATAAGCTAGAAAGCTATTATATAGATTCATAACAAGTAGTTCAAAATAAACCGAAAAAAATCATTTAAAAATAAAAAAGTAGAGAAGTACTCACTCTTCTGGTTAGATAAACTTAAAAGTTGAACGGATTATTTAGTCTTCTCAAAGAATATCTTTCAGCTTAATGTTCTATATATTCTTATGAATACTATACCAAAAATATAATCCTCATAAACTTCAAAAACAATGCTGTATAGCTCTCATTAATGACATACTTCCAGGTAGATATTCTGAAATTCTAATGTGAAGTATTGGCGTCAACCAGTTGGAAATGAAGCAGGCGCCAACTGAAGACCTTAGATGATAGTCGTACTATATCATGAACTGACAAAATTAATAGACTATGGACCATTGAATTTGCTGTAAAATCTGAAGGTCATGAGTTCAATCGCTGGTGGGGTCGTCGATGCGTACTGCTGATGAGTCTCACACTAGGACGAAATAGCTGTCCAGTACTCTAAGTTTTTCAGTAGTTCTCTAGCTGATATTAGTTCATGATACAAAATAAAAAAACAAATCTTTTTATTATCTATAATGCATTAAATCTAATTACTTATCTATTACAGTAATATATCTCCCCTGTAACTCGTCATAATGGAAGTCAACAGTTAAGCAGAAAAAAAATTTCAAGGCAATATTATATCAACTACAGAAGTACTGGAAATTAGATGTGACTGAACATTTGTTGAGTTCCAGTTTAGGAATTTCTAACAGCGTGCACTCATATCCTCTAGGCAGCACTGCTTCAACTACAGGTGGTACAGACGAGGATGTCAAAACCAGCCAGCATCGTAAAGACAGCAAGACAGGCGTTCATTAACCTGAAACCACTGTGGAGATCGATGCACTGCACTGCACTGCACTCAGCATGTGGAACAAGATCCGGATTTTCAACACCAACGTCAGTCAAGTCAGTGCTTCCATGTGATGGTTGAGAGACTTGGTGCTTTACGAAAGGCATTTCCAACAAACCACAGACATTCATCAACAACTACCGCCTACTCTGGCTCGTTATTGAAGCTCAGATGAGGTGGCCAGAATAATGAGAATAAGCAAGGAGGAACTCTGTGGTGGCTGGCTGGCTGGTGACGAACCAACGAAGCGAGAAGCTATCGCTGAACAAATATGCACTGGAAGGAAGTGGGAGTGGAGATGGATTGGGCATACAGTGAGAAGGCTGACTGGGGACATCACGCGCCATGCCAGGCACTCAAGTGGAATCCCCATGGGAAGCGACGAGTTTTGCGTTGGAGGTGAGTGTGACATGGAGGAGATGGTGCGAGGACGAAATGAGAGGTTGTTGGCTGTCGTGGAACCTGGTTGAAAAGATTGCAAAGAAGGGAGTAGAATGGAGACGTGTTGCTGAAGCCGTTTGTTCCATTAGGAACCCAAGGGACAAATAATAATAATAACAATAATAGTGCTGAAGATGTCAGGAATTGTCATAATTGAAAATTTCGCACATGTTCAGTAACTTTCATTAACATTGATACTGAGTAATGATTGAAGGTGAAGTGAAAGTATGCATCATGGCAGGATTCTGTCTTCGTGCTTCATCAGTTAAGCTACGAGATTCAATTGCCTACTAGTGTTTTATTTTACTTCGGTCACCAAGAGTTATGGTCGACTATCATCGCATTTCGGCTAGTCGATCCTCTGAGAATTTCTCATCACAATCTAAATTGAGTTGAATGAGAAAAAGGGGAATATTTAAAATTTTCATCTCAACTTCACTAATAACTCAGTATCAATAATACAAGTGTGCCACAAGACCACAGCTGTCTCAGATAGTTAAACTGATTTAGATCATTTTAGTTTATTATACTTTCAGTCCGTTTGTATTTATTCCCCCTTTTATATACCCCTTAGGAAATATAACAATCAGCATACTTCGATAAAACATCCTTTATTGAACTTTTTTAACTACCTTTGATACTGTGATAAATTAGATATTTCAAGCATTTAGCAATGGCTAACTTTAGAATGTATAGGGAAAGTTGTATCCTATTTCATGTAAGTCAATTCAAAGTAATTGTTATGATATTTGTAATGTCATGTTACTCTATTGGGTTGAATTGCTCAATCTCTGTTAACAGATGAGTTTGGATGCTTTAATACTGCCGAATATTCACGATGGTATAGTATTCAACAAGTCATTAACACATGAATTCAATCCAAGGTAATTATATTACAATGGATTGTAATACCAATCCTGTTATACCTTTTGAACATTTCAAAATATTAAAAACTGTTCATTTTTAGTAAAGTAAAGGTGTGAATAACCTCGGCTGGTTAACTAGTTCACTAGTTAATAGCCGGTCCTAAGCCCACATAAAGAGGGAAGGGTGGGCATAGGGCTAGCAACCCTACCCCGTAAAACAAATCTAACCGCTAAAGAAACTTCAAAGCACAAACGATATATAAAAAATAAAAACAAACTTATTCCTCGCTGGAGTCGGAGAGGCGAAATGACGCCAGTTGGTGAAAGCCTTCGGGAAGCCAATTGGCCGGGCCGATGTGTCTTCTCTCGATGAAAGCGAAAGTAAACGTGGGAACATGGAATGTCCTCACAACCTCTACCTCAACTTTATCGACTTTGAGAAGGCCTTTGACAGCGTCGACCGAGAGGTAATTTGCCAGGCAACTGCTTCAATACTACGGAATACCGCAAACCTTTATCAGCCTCATTCAACGACTATATGAAGACGCCACATGCCAGCCAGTAATTCACAATAGGAAGCTCAGTGATGCCTTTGAAGTGGGGACTGGAGACAGGAGTAAGACAAAGCTGTCTACTATCACCTATGATCTTCCTGATTATGGTCGACTGGATCATGCAACAAACTATGAGGAGCTGTGAGCAGGGGAGGGATACGCTGGCTGGACTGCGGAAAAGAACCTAGAAGATCTGGACTTCGCCACTGATGACTTGTGCCTGATGTCACACAAACTTGAAGATGTACAGGCGAAAACTAACAAGTTCATAGAAGAGGCTGGACAGGGCAGGGCAGCGAAGACAGGACTTCAAGTGAATATAGAGAAGACAGAGGTGATGAAGATACCGCACGAACAACTCCAACAACAACAACAAACTCCAATCACCGTCAACGTAAGAAACTTGAAGGAAGTAGCACCTTTCACCTACACCTATATAGGCAGGCAGCACTGTTTCAACTACAGGTGGCAGAGACACAGACACAGACGAGGATGTCAAAGTCAGAATCGGAAAAGCAAGACAAGCGTTCATTGACCCTGAAACCAGTGTGGAGATCTTCTCCACTCAGCATGTGGAACAAGATGCGAATTTTCAACAGTAATGTCAGTGAAGTCAGTGCTTCTGTATGGTTCAGAGACTTGGCGCCTTACAAAAGGGATTTCCAATAAACTACGGACATTCATCAACAACTGCCTACGCTAGCTCGATACTGAAGATCAGATGGCCAGGATAACAAGAATAAGCAACAAGGAGCTCTGGGAACGAACCAACGAAGCAAGAATCTATCACCCAACAAATATGCACTGGAAAGAAGTGGAAGTGGAGATGGATTGGGCATGCACTAAGAAGGCCGACTTAAGACATCACGCGCCCGACCAGGCACTCAAGTGGAATCCCCATGGGAAGCGACGAGTTGTGCGTCCGAGGTGAGGGTTACATGGAGGAGATCGTGTGAGGAGGAAATGAGAGTTTGTGGGCTGTCGTGGAGCCAGGTTCAAAAGATTTCAGAGAACAGAGTTCACTGGAGACGTACTACTGAAGGTGCATGTTCCATTAGGAACCCAAGGGACTAATAATAATAATAATAATAATAATAATAATAATAATAATAATAGGTGTGAATTAAATTATTGTGAAGAACAGCAAATAAAACAACACTCATTGAAAACGATTTACAACATACATGTTTTTTCTTCCGTTTTATAACCACTTCAATTGGATGGTTATGATCAATTGTTGAAGATGATTCCTTCATATGTATATTACTGATCATTGCATAATCAGAAAGTTGTTTATTGTATACACTTTCTGTTGAATATGAATTATTATTACTTGTTCGATGATCAACTATATGATCTATAGGATTATTTGATTCATTATAAAATGTAGGACTAGATGAAGTATAGTTTAATGATATATCGGTATTCCTGCGTTTACTTGACTGTTTGAATGATATTTATTATAAGAAGAAGACCATGTATTATTTACTAAATTCAAATTGTGTTGATTTGATTAATATCAATTGATATTCTTGGTTTAACTTCGTTGTTTGAAAATTCTTGTCGTCTTAATGGCTGTTGAAAGAGAAAGTAGAAAACATGGTGACCTTCATTTCAAAAATGAAACAGTAGGAAGGAGATGGAAAAACAGAAAAAACAAATAAACTATGAATAAACTGTTTAGTAACTGAAGACAACTATGAATGAACCATTTTGACAACATCACGATTCCTAGATGTTCGGATTCTTTTCAATGAACCATTAAACTTGTAGATTTCATCTTTGTATTCCATCTAAAGGATATGAACTCATGAGATAGCAGTTCTGACCCCCCCGAAAATGACAATCCAAACTATATTTCCCATCGAATAGGAAAAAGAGGCTCAATCCTTAAAATCTTAAACTCTCTGGTTGTAGATTTTTGTTATGGATTTCAGAAAAGATATGAGTGTAGTTGTTAGCTTGATCTCATCCGGTCAGTGTGATGCAGCTGTACAATTCATACTCGAAGCATTTACAGTTTCAATAAAAGGTTATCTTAGCCTCTCAGAAACCGGTATGACGTTGAAATATGGTGCACAAAAAGGATTTCTCAACAAGAACCTGAATGAATCTCATTTGTACTTTGTTTGACTGGATGGTAAAGTAAAATTTCAAAAACACTGACATGACAACTTTAATCTTTGTTTATGTAGCTACTGTTTTCATTCTGGGTGAAATAAAGACTATTTAGTCTCTGACAATAAACTGAATGTTCAGATTTATGAATCGTAGCGTTTGAAATCAGTTCACAAGTAGACTGACTAAGTAAGGTAGAAAGGTGTTGAAATACTACTTCTGGAATTCCAACCCAGTGAATCGATGATGCTAGCGGGTTGCTATGGTTATGTACTTGGGGGCCTGATTTAATCTTGGGCTACCAAGAAAACTTTCCATTGAATATATACCATCAAATTCTTCCCTTTCACTTTGTTTTAATCTTTCAAATGTCTTCTGAATGCATAATGTACTTTCGCATGTTTTTAAAGTGTTTTTGAACTTTCATTTCTCAAGCTAAGAGTGAAACAAGGGTGAAACGTTTCACCGGTTGGAAATGGATTTGTCAGTGCTCAAAAATACACCACATTACTATTCCTTCCTAGGATACCCTCTGTATGGGATTATGAATTTCTTTGCTGACTGATTGGTCCTACCACCATCATAATGACACTCGACATCAAAGGTATGTACAAAGATGATTGGCTGAATAGTCATTCTATATAATTGAACTAGGAACTACAAGTATACTTCTCTGATGGGTTAAGAACGGTGGCAGACCTTAATTACTTTGCTAGAATTTAAGAGTGTACAGGAACACATTTCGATTAGTTCTGAAGACAACGAAGTGCAAAAGTAATTGGATTTATTACTGTAAAAAACGTTTACACATCGATTATGAGCAGTCAAGGTCAGCTAGTTAGTGAAGATGGTTGTCATGAGCAGTAGTAGCAGAAAGTTGTTTACACACATTAGGAAGATATTGCCAAAAAGCTACAGTTGGTCAGAGTAACTTCAACAATAGTGAACCAGTAATCCATTCACAGATGAGGTCAGAGAGACAAACGAAACACTTTGAACGATAATTCAATTATCTATTGACTACCTGTTACTGACCCTCCATAAAATTCCAGCTTGGTCATCAACTCTTGCTGGTGCTGGAAATGTTTACAGGGAAAGTAGACAAGTTGGCAAGAAAAGTTGATCGTGATAAGCTACATCCAGAAACATTTTGAAATGACACCTCTAAAACCGTATTGTTTAGGATATGAAAGGTGAAAATGATTTCCTTTTTTGTAGATAACTGAAAAAAGACAAATTTAAGTTCTCTTGTGTTAGTCAGGTAGGTCATGGATGCACCGATTTGGTACTTCCGGGATGTTGGATATTTGAATACAAGTATACTAGCTGGTGCACAAAACCGTAGAAAAACTGAAAAACTGGGATTCCACTCCATCCTGTTAATATTGTGCTTTTTCTCTAAAGAAGATGCTTGAAAAATAACTCAGCTTATTGAAGATCCTATATCAGAATATTCGTAGACATATCGAAGTCAATCATTCACAAGTTAAGTTAAGCACTACTCGATTGATTCAAGAAACAACGTGAACACATACACAGCCTCCAAAGTAAAAAATCAATCGATAAGTTCCATTGTGTTTCGTTTTACTGAAACCATAGCAACTAAACCTTTCAAGCTTTCATCTGAATGGGCTAAAAAGTGACAGAGGAATTCAGTATCATCTTAGTAACTCTTGTGTTGATGAATCTCCCCAATCTTCTCCTTTCATAATTTCTTGATAAAATTTATTCTTCTTATCTGTAAAGAATGTATTGCATGTTGCCATATTTATTTCATCGCTCAACAGATATGCAGAAGGAAGTGAAAGTGGAGATGGATTGGGCATGCACTGAGAAGGCCGACTGGGGACATTACGCGTCAGGCTAGGATATCGAGTGGAACCCCGATGGAAAGCGACGAGTTGGGCGTCTGTGGTGAGGATGACATGGAGGAGATTGTGCGAGGAGGAAATGAGAGGTTGTGGGCTGTCATGGAGCCAGGTTCAAAAGATTTCAGAGAACAGAGCGCATTGGAGACGTGCTACTGAATCCCTATGTTCCACTAGGAACCCAAGGGACAAATAATAATAATAGTTATTCCATGTAATGTTCCGTATAAAGCGCCTAAGTTTTCTTTATAGTGTTTATCTGCTTATACAAGGTGATGATTGAAGGTGAACTGAAAATTTGGACCGCGGCCGAATTCGAACCAGTGACCACCGGGTTACCGACCTGATGCTCTACCAACTGAGCTACAAGGTCCAACTGCTGACCACATTTTTATTTCGTTTCAATCACTATGGGTTTTGCCCTACTACCATGTGAATTCGTCATGCGTTACTACCGCTTGATTGTGTTCACACTGGCTGCCCAGTCAGGACTTCTTATCCAAATCAAAATCTGACTGAATTAGTTGGGGTGATCGTCATATTGATTGTTATTTTGACTATCCAAGACAACCATGGTTTGTCAGACTAATATTGATACTGGGTGATGATAGAAGGTGAGATGAAAGTTTAAACCAGGACTGGACTCGAACCAGCGACCAACAGGTTTCCTGCTCGAAACCCTACCAACTGAGCTATGAGGTCCAACTGCAGACTAGATGTTTATTTCACCTCACTATTTACCTAATTATTCACTTTGTATAGAGGTGACAAAAATCCAATAAAATTGAATAACGTCATCGTATTCTGTAGATGGTGTTCTCCTTGGGTTACAGAAGTACATTTAGGAGGAGTAAAAGCATGAAATTTATCTCTTTGTTGTATAATGGAGAATTTGTTCATAACGTTATGATCATAATTGACAGAAACCAAAAACTGTGAATCACTGAATACCCACACAGGGGATGAAATCATCATCATCGAAATCCAGATCTTCTTCTACGGTCTTTTCATCGGTCCAGTCAACTTGTGCTCATCTTCTCGCTCATCACTGTTTGTTGCATGATCCAGTCGACCACAATCAGGAATATGATTGGTGATAGTAGGTGGCAACCTTGTCCTACTCCTGTCTTGACTTCAAAGACGTCACTGAGCTTTCCATTGTGGATCATTTAGCATGTAGTATCGTCATATTGCTGTTTATAGTGATGAATATTACTTTAAAAATAATCATAACTGATGTTTTATCTGAAATAGTTGTAATTAGATAAACTCGTACTGTTGACAGATATTTATGATTGCAAGTGAAACGAAAAGCCAGACTAACTGAAGTGAAATTAAGACCTGATAGCTAAAAGCGCCAAAGCGGTAACTTGGAGACCACTGGTTCAAATTCACCCTCTATCCAAGAGTTATCATTTCAGTGCATACTAATAACTTCAGAATCTTCTCGATTGGTAGAAATTTAAAAAAAACTTATTCACTATTATTTGTATTACTGAATTTTCTTAATCTGATACTGCTTATCTCATCTAAACTTCCTTAATGTAGATGTATGTTTTGCCCTAGCACAAAAAGTGTATCACTGAACTAAATTTGTACTGATACTGAAATCTGTTGGAATGGTTGGTAGAAAAGAGATTTACTTGTTTTATTCTGTAAATCTTAATTTTTGTCGGCTTCATTAAAAATTCTGAATTCGATTGGAATAATTTGAAAATAAGGCGATAACTCGTGTTGTACATAGCGATACCTATATATCATGCTATATATATATATCATGCAACCTCGCCTGGTTAACTAGTTCACTAGTTAATAGCCGGTCCTAAGCCCACATAAAGAGGGAAGGGTGGGCATAGGGCTAGCAACCCTACCCCGTAAAACAAATCTAACCGCTAAAGAAACTTCAAAGCACAAACGATATATAAAAAATAAAAACAAACTTATTCCTCGCTGGAGTCGGAGAGGCGAAATGACGCCAGTTGGTGAAAGCCTTCGGGAAGCCAATTGGCCGGGCCGATGTGTCTTCTCTCTACCGATGAAAACGAAAGTAAACGTGGGGACATGGAATGTCCGCAACATGTTTGAACTCAGCAAGGCAGCCCAGATTGCAAAAGAGATGAGAAGGTATCAGATTGGAGTGCTTGGAATTTGCGAAAGCAGATGGAATGGGAGTGGACTCTTCAAACTGTCAACTGGAGAATCAATAATCTACTCCGGTCACCCAGAAGACAGCCACGAGCACACTGAGTTATGGAGTGGCTATCATGATGTCCCCAACAGCATCGAAGGCTCTCAAGCAGTGGGAACCAATCTCCTCCAGGATCATGACAGCAAGATTCAACTCAAAAGGAAGAAAGGTCACAATCATACAATGCTATGCCCCTACAAATAATGCAGATGAAGAGAAAAAGGAGGAATTCCACAGGCAACTTCAATCAACACTGGACAAGACGCCAGTTGGTGATATCAAAATTCTAATGGGCGGAGTGACATGAATGCCAAACTGGGGGTGGAAAACACAGGAAGAGAACTAACTATGGGTCGAGAAGCGCTAGGTGAGGTGATGAACGAGAATAGAGAATTGTTTGCAGAATTGTGTGCATTCAACGATTTGGTGATTGGAGGCAGTATGTTCAAGCACAAAGATATCCACAAAGCGACATGGATTTCACCATTCACCAGATGGACACACTAAAAATCAAATCGACTTTATCTCAATCCCAAGAAAATGGAGACGCAGTCTACTTAACACAAGGTGAAGAAGGGGAGCAGATGTAGGTTCAGACCACTCACTGTCTAGTGCAAGGAACCTTCCAAATCAAGTTAAAAGCCTTCAAGGGAGTTGATGACAGACCACAGTTCAAGTACAACACTCGGAAACTGAAGGAGAAAACTACAAAGGAAATCTTCACGACGGTCAGCCATCAAGACAAAATGGGAGATATCGAGGAACATTCCTGAAGAAACCTGTGTGGAAGAACACTGGAAGTCTTTGAAAGCTATGTGGAAAGAAACCTGCACAACAGTATTAGGAAGGAAGAAGAAAGAAGACAAGGAATGGATCTCGACGGATACCTGGAAGCTGATAGAGGAGGGAGAGGAGGATGGTGAAACAGAAGATAAACCAGTGCAACGATGCTCAACGACAAGAGGAACTGAGTACAATGTACAAAACACTGGACAAAGAAGCGAAGAAGAGTGCACGCAAAGACAAAAGACACTTCCACGACACACTGGCAAGTGAAGCAGAACAGGCTGCAGGCTGGTAGGAGAGACCTGACGACATTGTATCAAGTAACCAGGTTGCTATCAGGGAAGAAATCAACGCAGACGAAACCAATAAAAGATGAAGAAGGAAATTTCATTACGAAAAAAGAGACACAAAGGAAACAATGGGCCGACCACTTCAAGAAGCTCTTGAATCGACCACCACCACCACCTGCACTGCGTCCAGAAATACCACCTGCAGCCTAGCCGCTGAACTACAAGTGAACATAAATCCTCCAACAAAAGTGGAAGTCCTGAACGCCATAAAGCTACTGAAATGCGGGAAAGCAGCAGGACCAGATGGAATCCCGCCAGAAGCACTGAGAACGGACGCAGAGACAACAGCGGACATGCTCACACCACTATTGCAGAAGGTGTGGAAGGAAGAGAAAGTACCTGGTGATTGGAAGAAGGGTTACCTCGTTAAACTGCCAAAGAAGGGAGACCTCAGTGTTTGCAAGAACTGGCGCGGAATCACCCTCCTATCCACCCCAAGTAAAATATTAAGCCGCATCATCCTGGAGAGACTTAAAGATGCACTGGATTCAAAACTACGACCGGAACAGGCAGGCTTCAGGAAGTACAAATCATGTGCAGACCAAATTTCAACGCTTCCCATTATCATAGAACAGAGCATAGAATGGCAATCAGCTCTCTACCTCAACTTCATCGACTTTGAGAAGGCCTTTGACAGCGTCGACCGAGAGGTAATTTGGAAACTGCTTCACTACTACGGAGTACCGCAAACCTTTATCCGCTTCATTCAACAACTATATGAAGACGCCACATGCCAGCCAAGTAATTCACAATGGGAAGCTCACCTCAGTGATGCTTTTGAATTGAAGACAGGAGTGAAACAAGGTTGCCTTCTATCCCCCATGATATTCCTGATTGTGGTCAACTGGACTGCATCATGCAGCAAACAGTGGGCAGCGAGAAGAGGGGGATACGCTGGCAGAACTGCGGAAGAGAACCTAGAAGACTTGGATTTCGCCACCGATGACTTGTGCCTTATGTCACATAAACTTGAAGATGTACAGGCAAAAACTAACAAGTTGACAGAAGAGGCAGGGCAGCGAAGATGGGACTTCAAGTGAATATAGAGAAGACAGAGGTGATGAAGATACCGCACCACCACCATCATCAACAACAACAACAACAACAAACTCAAATCACCATGAACAAGAGAAACTTAAAGGAAGTAACCTCCTTCACTTAACTAGGAAGCACTGTTTCAACTACAGGCGGGACGGACAAGGACGTCAAAGCCAGCCATGATCGGAAAAGCAAGACAGGTGTTCATTAGCCTGAAACCAGTGTGGAGATCTTCTCCACTCAGCATTTGGAACAAGATGCGGATCTTCAACACCAATCAGTCAAGTCAGTGCTTCTGTATGGCTCAGAGACTTGGCGCGTCACGAAAGGGATTTCCAATAGACTGCAGACATTCACCAACAACTGCCACCTACGCTGGCTCGTTACTGAAGATCAGATGGCCAGGATAACAAGAATAAGCAACAAGGAGCTCTGGGAACGAACCAACGAAGCAAGAACCCATCACCCAACAAATATGCAGGAGGAAGTGGAGATGGATTGGGCATACACTGAGAAGGCTGACTGGGGACATCACGCGTCAGGCCAGATCAGGCACTCGAGTGGAATCCCCATGGGAAGCGACGAGTTGGACGTCCGAGGGTGACATGGAGAAGATCGTGTGAGGAGGAAATGAGAGATTGTGGGCTGTCGTGGAACCAGGTTCAAAAGATCTCAGAGAACAGAGGTCACTGGAGACGTGCTAGTGAAGCCCTGTTCCACTAGGAACCCAAGGGACTAATAATATAATAATAATAATATATCATGATGATAGAATTCTTAGGTGATTGACACGTAGCGAGAATAGGTAGCCAATAGGGAAGTTGTTTTCAAGTCATGATCGTATCACGTTCAGGTCGTGATTTATGCATGCACTGACATGAGAACTTGATTGGAGAAATTCGACCTCATACAAGAAATCTGATTGGTTCATTTATGGCTTCACTTTCTGAGAGTTTTGTAACTTCATATATGTCATGTATTTGTATGATAAAAGTTATTGTCGCTGTTGTTGCAGTCGAAGGCCGTCTTTGTCTCCTGGTTTCTCAGAGGCTCAGTGCAGCAGAAGGTACTGATGTGGGTCAGTCGTAAAGGTATTCAGTTGAGGTGTCTATTGAGTCTCAGTATTCATTATACCCACGCGCGCAACCCCACCACTCGGTCACAACCGTGATATATAGAAAGAAAATACTCAAGAAAAATAAAAGATATAAACTTACTTCATTCAATTTTTCCGATGTTACTGGTGAAGTGATTTCAATAGTTGGAATTATATCACATGGTTTATCTGTAATCGGATTACTAGAATGAACTTTAACAGGATTCAAATTTACAGAATTGGTTTCTTTTCGGTCACGTAGTTGGATATCACATCTGTAGAGATAAATAAAAAAAAGAAAAGAATATAGAAACATTAGAAAATTGTACACCTTGGTTAATGATGTGTTTGAAATGCAGAATATTTTGCAGGAATTACATACATACAATACAAGGACCTATAACTGTCGTATTGATTCGTTTGAAGATAATTTTTCATCACTAACTCAGCATGATATCAGCTAGAATTTATTTTGATGACGTTTAGAGGTCTATAAGGATTTATTTATTTGCTTCAGGTTTGAAATTAATCATAAACTGACATCAATTGGAGAAACATTGGAAACTTGGGAGCATTGGATAACTTTTTCATTCTAGTATATAGGAATCCCTTAGCATTGTGTACTCATTCCCCGCCATGGATCAAACTCAGGAGTTTCAGGTTCTGCTGCCAGCGTGTTACCATTGAGCCACTGACGATGGATTTATCATGGATAATAAATAATTTATTTCTTTCACGTTCTACAGATAGTTGAGTCTCAACCTTGTATATCTCAACATGGTTGGAGTCGACCACTACCTGCACTTCGTCCAGGAATACCATCTGCAGCCCAGCCACAGAGCTACAAGTGAAGACAAGCCCTTCGACGACGAAAGTCGAAGTCCTGAAAGCCATACAGCTACTGAAATGCTGGAAATCAGAAGGACAGGATGGAATCCGGCCAGAAGCACTGAGAGCAGACGCAGAGACAACAGCGGACATGCTGACGCCACTATTGCAGAGGTCTCTGCAAGAACTCGCGCGGGGTCACGTTCCTGTCCACCCAAAGCAAGCAAAATATTATGCCGCATGATCCTCGAGAGACTGAACAGATTGGCTGATTGGCTTCAGGAAGTAAAAATCATGTGCCAACCAAATTGCAACGTGACGCATAGAATGGCAGTAAGCTCAACTCTACCTCGACTTCATCGACTTCGAAAAAGCTTTCGACAGCGCCGACCGACAAGTCATTTGCCAGGCAGCTGCTTCAACACCACGGTTTTTGTGACAAACCTTTATCACTCTCACTCAAGAACTATGTGAAGACGCCACATGCCAAGTAATTCACAATGGGAAGCTCAGTGTTGCTTTTGAAGTGAAGACAGGAGACAGGAGTAAAACAAGGCTGCCATCTAGTATCACCTATCATATTCCTGATTGTAGTGAACTGTTTCATGCAACAAACAGTGAGTTGTGAGAAAAGAGGGATACACTGCACCGCAGAAAAGAACCTAGAAGATTTGGATTTCACCCATAACTTGTGTCTAATGTCACACAAACTTGAAGGTGTACATGCGAAAACTAACAAGTTGACAGAAGAGGAAGGGCTAGGCTGGGCTGGGCAGAACAGGGCAGGGCAGCGAAGACGGGACATCCTTCAGGTGAACGTAGAAAGACAGAGGTGGAGGTGATGATGATACACAACCAAAAAAACCACCACCACTAACAGTAACAACAAGCCCCAATCACCATCAATGGGAGAAACTTGAAGGAAGTAGCCTCTTTCACCTACACCTATATAGGCAGGCAGCACTGTTTCAACTACAGGTGGCATAGGCACAGGCACAAACGAGGATGTCAAAGCCAGCCAGCATCAGAAGGACTGCAAGTCAGGCGTTCATTGACCTGAAATCAGTGTGGAGATCTTCTGCACTGCACTCAATATAAAGCGTCAACAAGCATCCGGATCCAGATTTTCAACACCAACGTCAGTCAAGTCAGTGCTTCCATGTGATGGTTGAGAGACTTGGTGCGTTATGAAAGGCATTTCTAACAAACTACACACATTCATCAACAACTGCCACCTACGCTCACTCGTTACTGAATCTCAGATGAGATGGTCAGAATAATGAAAATAAGCAAGGAGGAAATCTGTTTGGTTGGCTGGCTGGCTGGTGACGAACCAACGAAGCGAGAAGCTATCGCTGAACAAATATGCACTGGAAGGAAGTGGAAGTGGAGATGGATTGGGCATACAGTGAGAAGGCTGACTGGGGACATCAGGCACCATGCCAGGATATCGACTGGAAGTGAGATGGGAAGCGACGAGTTTGGCGTGGGAGTTGAATGTGACATGGAGGAGATGGTGTGAGGAAGAAATGAGAGTTTGTTGGCTGTCGTGGAACCAGGTTGAAGAGATTGCAGAGAAGGGAGTGTAATGTAGACGTGCTACTGACGCCGTTTGTTCTATTAGGAACCCAAGGGACAAATAATATAATAATAAGGAAAATATCGTTCGGTTAAAGACTGAAATTTCATCAGAATATACGTTGGCAAAGCTGAGCGGTGAATTAAAATCTATAAGTTGAAAGTATAAGGAAGACTTATGTCATTAGATCACAGTCAGAATAATAATATTGGCTTATAGCATGTGTGTGAAGGTCAGCTTTGAAACATAGGACTGGAGTCGATTGTATATGCCTAGTAAAACTTTGCATTTCAGAAAGGATAGAGTTTTGAAAAGGTGTACGGTGGTTTATGTCTCTGACCTTTCAATGTCATTATTTTGAAAAGTACACCTGAATTTGTAGATGTCAGTAGAGATAAATTTAAGAAGGCACTTTCTTACTTTCAACCAGGAAACGCTATTATTGGTGCCATATACAAAAAGATCATCATCACAGAACAGAGCATACAATAGCAGCCAACTCTCTACCTCAACTTCATCGACTCTAAAAAAGCCTTCGGTAGCGTCGACCGAGAAGTAATTTGCCAGGCCACTGCTTCAACACTACGGAGTATCACAAATCTTTATCGACCTCATTCAACAGGTATATAACGACGCTACTTGTCAAATGATTCACAATGGAAAGCTCAGTGACGTCTTTGAAGTCAAGACAGGAGTAGGACAAGGTTGCCACCTACTATCACCAATCATATTCCTGATTATGGTCGACTTGATCATGCCACAAACAGTGATGAGCGAGAAGATGAGCACACGTTGACTGGACCGATGAAAAGACCGTAGAAGAAAATCTGAATTTCACCGATGATCATTTTGTCCAATGTCTAATGCTGCATCAACTCGAAGATGTACAGGCGAAAGCCAACAAGTTGACAGAAGAGGCAGGGTTGGGCAGGGCAGCGAAGACGAGACTTCAAGTGAATGCAGAGAAGATAGAGGTAGAGGTGATGAAGACATTCAAACAACAACAACAAGAGGCACCAATCACCATTAACGGGAGAGATCAAAAGGGAGTGGTCTCTCTCACCTACACACCTACCTACATATCTAGGCAGCATCGATTCAACTACAGAAAGTGGCACAGGCACAGATGAGGATGTCAAAGCCAGCCAGCCAGGATCGGAAACACAGCAACACAGGCCTTCCTGCATTAATCTGAAATCAGTGTGGAGATCTACTGCATGCACTGCACTGCACTGCACTCAGCATAAAGCATCAACAGTGTCCTGATTATCATCACCAATGCCAGTCAAGTCACTCAGTGATTCTATGTGATGATTAAGAGACTTGGTGCATTACGAAAAGTATTTCCAACAAACTACAGACATAGATCAACATCTGCCTCCTACGCTGGCTCGATACTGACACTGAAGATCATATCAGATGGCCAGAAAGAATAAGGAACAAGGAATTCTGGGAATGAACCAACCAAGAACTTATCAGTCAACAAATATGCAGGAGAAGTGAGTGGATGTGTATTGTGTTGAACATACATTGGGAAGACCGTTTGGGGACATCACGCGTTAGGCCATGCCGTCGAATGGAATCCAAAAGGGAAACTACGAGCTGGGCATCCAAGGTGAGGATGACATGGAGGAGATGGTGTGAGGAAGAAATGAAAGGTTAAGGGCAGAGTGGTGGAGGTAGGTATTGAAGACTGGAGAGAAGAGAGTGGAATGGTGACGTGCTACTTGGTCCCTACGTTCCACTAGGAACCCAAGGGAGAAATAATAACAATAAAACAAAAAAGAGATTGATGACCGGATTAGATTGTCATGATCTTTCATAAGAAGGTAATTCTTTTGATTATAGAATTGAATGTCATTAAAATACTATGCTTTTTGAGCACAGTTTGTAATAGAAACTTAAATGTTTAGGTAATTCTTCACTTTAGACTACCAATTTTTAGATTTAATCAATACACAAGATTCTACGCTTCATCAAGGTGCATGTCAAAATGTGGGTTTCATCAAGAAAATAAAAGTTAGGATGATAATTTACCACGATATCCTTAGAAAACACTTTCGAGGCAAATAGATGGCAGCCAGTAATCTTTCTTCATTTTTAGAAAAGTCAAAGAATGCAGAAGCATCTACTACCAACGGACACTCATATTTACTAACGAAATACAAATTTTCAGAAGTGATATAACCCTTCCTAGTATTCAGTAGAGTTACATAAACTGCTTTACAACATTCATTACTTCATAAAAAAAACTTGCAGTCATCGATGCCAGGGATTCAAAGTACTAAAATTTGTCACAGTATTTTTCAAATTATTTATGCAGACTTATTTAAGTGCACAGCTCCGAATACAATACTAATAGAGTTTTCATTATCATACACGCTACACACATCATTAATAACAAAATTGAAAATACTGTCAGTGCCAATGCATCCGTACAGGAGCCTGTATGCCAACAGAGACCTATCAATTCGATTCAGTCACGACAGGATAATACAAGCAACATCAAATAAACTTTACGCGTCACATAAAAAGTGACCTAATAGATAATGCTCTGGTGTTTGAAGTGATCGGTCCCGGGCTTAAGTTTTAATGGGGACAACATCATCCGCTGGAAGGCGGATACATTCATCTGACGAGTCTTAAATAGAATGAAACGCACGTCTTGGATTCCACTGCTAGCCACTATCCATCAATAATATGAAAAACGTATAGGCTGAAATAGGATATTTTGATCGACTAATTAAAAGCAATATGCTTTGGTAAATAATTCTCTGAAATTAAAAAGGCGTTAAATAACAAAGACTTATGCATCACGTTTCATATTTAATGAAAGAATACCAATCCTTATGTCAACGATATATGTGCAAATAACTGTTTTGTTAGGAAGTAATTATTTAAGAAAGTAGCTGGATTAGAAGTGAATACTTATTTGAGTATTGTTTTTAGCATAGCCTACTATCAGAATCTCTTGTGTTCTTGGGCACCTGTGGGTCATTAAACTCCTGATCTACTGGTGACTTAATACTCTTTTATATTCGTTTAAACTGTATTCAACTTGATCAAGTTTTCAGAAAACTTTAAAAAAATGGATGCATGACCAACTATTTTTTTCATTCCCTTACTGTGCACTTCGTTGATAGGAATCCTTATTGTCTACTCTAAAGTTGACGATTCAATAAGAGGTTAGTCTTTTCAGCAATTTTATTCTCAAGTAGCACAAACGTATTTCAGTATTACACTTACTTGGTAACAGAAAACGAGTCAACGAAATATAGTACTACTGAATAATATGAGTAGTTAGAAACCATTTATGCTGATTTGCATATTTCCCCAGTCAGATGAGAGTGATCTAAACACTGCATGGCCGTTTTCCTCGTTTGAGGCCAAACTCATCAGCTGTGTACCAGGATCGATTGAGGTCAGGCAGTGACAGACTGACAAAATCAGCGTAGAATTTCGCAAGCAATTGCATCGGCTCAAGTGGCCACACTTCACAGTATTACACAAACAACATATGAATAGAAAAAGAGTACTATCAAAGAAGACAGAGCTATGTAAAAGAGAAAACAATCTGAAGATAAAAGTCGGTGCAGATATTGAAGCTTATGAAGATGTCATGGAGTTAATACATATGCACCATTGTCACCGATTTTCAGCCGTGTCACCAAGAGTTCTCAACCACTAATTACTCTCGTCTCAGGGACCCCAACCAGGCAGTCTACGTCTCCCCACATGACTTAGACCAATAGTAAAAGACTTCATTGACTAGTGCCAGGGTCTTTGTCTGGTCACTCTGAATCCTCTTTCAACGTGATGAGACTTTCACTAGCATGCTACCTTGAAGCAGGCGGTGGCTCAGCATATGCAGCATATGTCCAAGACGTCTCAGCCGATGAGGGTTCATGGCTTTATCGATCAATTTGCCTGTCTTCTCTAGGACCTTTTATCTTATCTAAACACGGTTCAAACGTGAGCAATGATACAAAGACACCTACGATCAAAATGCTGTAATCGCTTCATGTCTTCCACTTTCAACGGCCATGTCTCACAGTCGTATAATGGGACAGAACGAACTGAGACCCAGTATACTCATCCTTTGAATAATAGATATCTCGTAAGCTGTAGCCAAAGATGATGCAAGTTGGCAAATGTGGAACGAGCCTTCTATATCCGGGCTGAGATTTCGTCAGTAACCAGCCTGGTCGGGTCGATGAAAATCCTCAAATAAGTGAAGTGGTTGACGTGTTCTGGCTAACGAAATCCGGTTAGCTGTTGACATCACAGTTGGGCAGTTGAAAAACTACTCAACTGTCGGAAGTGTTAATTTGTGAATAACTTACAAATTGATCATCCTGCTTTAGCAAAAACCGTATGTTGGGGGAATATATTTAGTTCAGGTGGCTGATTTTGATGGTTTTGTGTTCTCTGAGCTGAATGCTTGAACCAGGGAACTTTCAGCGTCATTCTAGAAAACATCATCTGCAAAAACTTTATTTAAATCGAAAGGTTGGAAAATGAATTACACAGTGTCTAAAATAATAATGAGGGCTAGACTTATCAAGACTGAAGCAATGCTAAGTTGGATGGTGTAATATAGTCAAAAGACTTGATGAATTCAATGAAATATCAGAATTTTATTGGTAGAAGGATGGGATACATGAGAAGATGTGGTAACCATTGACGAGGTGAAAGAAAAGTGATCGGAAAAACTTCCTATGAGTGTTGAATTCAAATCTCAATATATGAATTGTCATAACAATTGTACTTCGAAGAGGTTTCAGGCGTACACCTTTCACGAGGTCTACACAAACTCTACAGATGACATTGCTGTTTTCTTCTTTGAACTACTGGTTCAAATCAAACAGAAGTTTACAGATAGGTCTACGAAGTGTTCTCTTTTTTTCTTTATGAAACCATTCTGATATATACTCGGGAATGGATGCAGACGAAAATCCCTGGATGCATGTACAAGTAACAGTCTTAGAGTTAGCAGCTATAACAAGCTTCTAGTTATCCATAATTCATGATTAATTTGTGATGCTTATGATGACGATGTAGGTGAAATCTTAAAAAAGCGTTTTCTATCCTGTATAGACTAAAACTGATCAGCACTTAAAATTTGACAGTAATGATGATGATATTTATTACCTTAACATTGAGAAATATGAATTTCCTTACGTCTAAAGATATATCATGTTGATGAGTAGGAAACCCATAGTGGTAGAGAAATTCCTGCTAGTTTATATCTAACATCATATTAAAAAGTATTGTAACAAATTAAAATCGAAAAATTATTTGGTAAATATGTTCAAAGAGGTAAACAGTTGATAAAAGAAGAAAAAAGAAGACATAACTCACTCAGATGATCGTCTGCTAGAAGCATGTGATGATGATGATGATGACGATGATGATGATGATGATGAAGAAGAACTAGATGGTGAAGAATCTTCCAACTCATCTAAATGTTCTTGTAGTGTTTGTGGTTGTTGAGCTAATTCCTCTTTAGTTTTAAATTCAAGAAATTTACTTCGTTTTGTAAAGAAAAATGCAATCAATGGATATATTGGTGGAATTAATAATCCCATTAATATTAATGCTACTTTAATACCAACTAGATCACCTTTACGTAAACCACCATACCATAAATCATTTAATATTGATTGAGTACATGGATGAGCAATAAACACTTTTGATTCACACATATAAGCTAAACTAAGGCAAGTATTTTTTGAAAAAGTTTGTAATTCATATGTAAGTAAACGTTTTGCTTGATCTTGATCATGTCGATAACAATGATCTTGTAAATCAACAGCCAATCGTTCCAATGCACTAAATTAATTTGTTTGTTTATTTTTTTTTAAAAAAAAGAAAAATTAGATGTAAAACGAAAGGTTACATAGAGTAAAGTAATGAAAATGAGAATATATTAGGAAATACTATATTGAAGATATTTAAAGAGTTATAGGGTGAATAGGGTTCATCACTAGCATTGTCAATGTTTAAAAGTTATGAACTTCAATTGAATGTTTGTTCTTTTGATGTTGGATAATACTTCATCTTGATCATTATTCAATTGATGTTTAGAAATATGGATATATTTGCATAAAATATATATATATATACAGTCGGTTAACTAACATTTCAGTCTTTAGATATTCATTCCGTTGGGTATTGAAACAGTGACAACATACACATAAGTACAAACAGAATAATAAGTTGGTTATTAGCGCGTTAAGTTAGTTTATATTCTAAGTTTATAGATGACAACAACAAAATTGTCAAGGATATTAGGCGGATTGCATATTCAACTATCACAGATTTAAATTGACTATATGTAGTTTAGTGTGGATTATTTGCTTTCCCAGCCAGAAGTAGGTGTAGATTAGTTTGAAGATCAGGACATATTCATTCAACATTGATTGGATAAGAAAAAAGGTGACACTTGCCCCTTAATCTTCTTAAGAATATTACCCTCATACAAATGAGATATCATTATTATTATTTATCCCTTGGGTTCCTAATAGAACATACGGCTTCCACTCGATATCCTGGCATGGCGCCTGATGTCCCCAGTAAGCCTTCTCACTGTATGCCCAATCCATCTCCACTCCCACTTCCTTCCAGTGCATATTTGTTCAGCGATAGCTTCTCGCTTCGTTGGTTCGTCACCAGCCAGCCAGCCAACCAAACAGAGTTCCTCCTTCCTTATTCTTATTGTTCTGACCATCTCATGTGAGCTTCAGTAACGAGTGAGTGTAGGTGGCAGTTGTTGATGAATGTGTATAGTTTGTTGGAAATGCCTTTCGTAAGGCACCAAGTCTCTCAACCATCACATGGAAGCACTGACTTGACTGACGTTGGTGTTGAAAAACTGGATCCGGATGCTCGTCGACGCTTTATATTGAGTGCAGTGCAGTGCAGAAGATCTCCACACTGATTTCAGGTCAATGAACACCTGTCTTGCTGTCCTTCCGATGCTGGCTGGCTTTGACATCCTCGTCTGTGCCTATGCCACCTGTAGTTGAAACGATGCTGCCTATATGGGTGTAGGTGAAAGAGGCCACTTCCTTCAAGTTTCTCCCACTGATGGTGATTAGAGTTTACTGTTATTGTTGGTTGGGTATCTTCATCACCTCAACCTCTGTCTTCTCTACGTTCACCTGAAGGATGTCCCGTCTTCGCTGCCCTGCCCTGTTCTGCTCAGCCCAGCCTAGCCCTGCCTCTTCTGTCAACTTGTTAGTTTTTGCCTGTACACCTTCAAGTTTGTGTGACATTAGACACAAGTTATGGGTGAAATCCAAATCTTCTAGGATCTTTTCCCCAGTCCAGGGTATCCCTCTCTTCTCGCAGATAGATGCATAAAATTTCGACATTTATACCACTAACAGTGAAGTATTCAAGAATCAATATGAAAATGTGTATAAGATCACCTTATTTCATGCAAATGTACAAAACAGAAAATAAACTAATTCATTATGAAATCATTTGAAGTTTACGTGATGTGCATCTACAACTTATAACACAAGGCAAAACAAAAAATTCCGTTATTTCCGTGCAATAAATTTTTAGTTTATTTAAAAATAAATAAATGTCTGAAAATAATCAAGGATATAGTGAATTGGAATGTTACTTACTATAGTATTAGTTACTTGAAATAAAAAAATTTACTCATTGATATAGTGGAACTGTTTACTATAAAAAATTATTTGGGTGAAGCTATATGCAGGAGGAAGTGGAGATGGATTGGGCATAGAGTGAGAAGGCTGACTGGGGACATCACGCGTCAGGCCAGTTGCTCGAGTGGAATCCCCAGGGGAAGCGACGAGTTGGACGTCCGAGGGTGACATGGTGGAGGTCGTACGAGGAGGAAATGAGAGCAGCTGGGCTGTCGTGGAACCAGGTTGAAAAGATCTCAGAGAACAGAATTCACTGGAGACGTGCTACTGAAGCCCTATGTTCCACTAGGAACCCAAGGGACTAATAATAATATAATAATATGGTAGTAGTAATACAGATGTTATTAATAATAATCCCACTACTAATGGTAATAATGGTGACAGGGTTGAGAGAGAATTCAAAGCCTCTGCTGTGTTACCATACATGGAAGACACCTGAGAAGCATTACGAAGAATTCTCAATAAAACTAGCTGGGATTAAAGTGGCATCCAAACCAACAAACTCACTTAGAAACAAGCTTTGTAGGTCAAAAGATCCTATCGATGCAATTAAGCAAAATAATCTGGTTTGCCAGATTCCTTGCAATGATTGCGAGGTTAAGTTCATAGGTTAAAGCAAACGACCAGGGTCGATTAGAATAACAGAGCACAAAAACTTAGGTAAATCAAGATTAGTAGATCCTAATAAGACAAGAAATCTAGAGAAAAACTCGGCTATAGCTCTGCATGCGATGAAACACAATCACACAGTAGGGTGGGATAGGGTGACAGTGTTGAAAACTAACTTAGTTGGATGAAGACAGAGACTTATAATCGAATCTTTAGTTAACGAAATAATTCTGCACCAGTCCTAGATATATGGAAAATTCTACTACCCTAGTCATCATAGAGAAGGAGAGAAAATTAGGCATATATAAACTCTGTCTCGAAATTGTGGAGTTACCTGATATGATTATGGACGATAGATTGTGTCCAAAACGTTATCCAGTAAATGTTACTGTTTCACTGTGTGATATTTCTAATAAATAGACTAATGTAGAGTTACAAACTACCACATTGCCCAAGTTTTACTCTTATATTAATGGCGCTATATAATTTTACAAATTTATGGTTATTATTCTATGATATTATTCCTTAGAATTGAATTCATTGAAAAAAACACAATTCATTCCACTTTCAAACTTAGTACTTTTATTACTATTTATTGACATACTTGTTATTCTTCGTTGTTTTGTTGGATCGAATTGTTCGACCTCTATTGGCATATGGACTCCTATGCGGATACCTCAACATTGCATGAATGTTAATTATGATAAATTGGTTGGTTGTGGCTAGCAGAAGAATCGAGGATGCGCGTTTTGTCCTACTTGGGACTCGTCAGCTGGATGTGCCTGGGGTGCAGGTACATCCAGCTGACGAGTCCCAAGTAGGACGAAACGCGCGTCCTCGATTCTTCTGCTAGCCACAACCAACCAATTTAGTACTTTTAGTTGAAAAATACGGAAATAATGAGAATAAAAGGGACATTGGATAAAACCTATACAGCTGTTTTCACAAAATAACCATATAGTCAATTCGAAGACAATATATTGATTGTATCACTGTGATGACAATGGATTCGAGAAAATATGTTTTAGAAATTTGTTTTCCCAAGCATCTGATATGACGTTGTGTAATCGGATAATAAACTGACTAGAATTAAAACTATGTCAAAGGACAGTTACCCTTAGTACAAACATAATAGCAGTTTGTTGACTAAACATCAGCGATATGCTTTTCTAAAATTAGGGAGAAATGAAAACCTAATTATAATTATGTTATACAAGGGAAGACATATAGTGTTGTTGGACAAAAGAGATTATTTAGATGAAATATAGTCTCTTCTGAGCAGTTAAACTAAATTTCAGAAGCTTAGTGAACCAAGAGATTTGACTGGAAAAGCGGAAAAACCAACTTTCCTTAGCATGCCATATTAAGGTAGGCGGTGACTCGGCATTTTGTAGCATACGCACAAGCCATCTTAGCCGACTAAGGTTCACGATCTGATCAATCAACTTGCCTTTCTTGACTAGTATCCTTCATCTGACCTCAACATTGTTCACACAGTAATTCCACCAAACGTGACCATTGCTACGAAGACATCTGTGATCAAAAACTATATAATCGCTTCATGTCTTCTAATTTCGGCCACCCTATCTCACAGCCATACAAATGGGAAAAGCGAACTGCAGCGCAGTATACTCGCACATTGATAGTTAGTCGGATATCTCCAGAGTCAGAGACACAGATGACGCAAGTTGGCAAGTGCCAAACGGACCTTCTGTCTCTGAGATGAAATTTTGTCACCAACCCACCCGTTCAGGCTGAAGCAACTTGCCAAGTAAGTGAAGTGGTCGACACATTCCACCACTTCACTCTCTACCAGTGAGCTGGGAGTACTTGGAGTAGACCAGTCCTGAAGCATCATCTTACATTTAACAGATGCGGAACACAAGCCAAACATACACAGATTTCAAATCAACGGGTCCAGAAGACCTTGCATTTTTTCAGTGTCTTCACCCAGTAGGACAATATAGTCTGCATACTCCAAGTCAACTAGATGACCTCCAAGGAGTAGATCAGTCCCTGTGAAGTCAGAAAAACAAAAGGTTATATCCGTTAGTAGGTCTATGACGAAGTTGAACAGGAACGGTGACAGTGAACATCTCTGCCAGACACCACTAGCTGTCGTCATTCTGAAGACAACTTTCTATAGGCCCCTACATGGTTGCGTAAGTTCGAATGGAGAGCTTTGATCAGAGCTATATGCTTGCTCAGTACTACTTTCATAATCAAATACGGCCACAATACCCCACCGTCGTCAGAATCAAACACCGCCTTAAGGTCAACAACTATGGCAAGTGACAAGCATTGACCAATAGGTATGCCAATGTGGTCGATGCACCTTCGTCCAGGTTTGAAAGCTATCCATTTTTCTCGAGCTCCAGTTGGACGTCGGATAAATGTGGACCCTAGCATTTCGAAAAAAATGTGGTCGAACTAATTCCCCTATGGTTGTCACAAGAAGATTTATCCGCCTTCTTGTAGACTTAGACGATCACAGAAATACACCAGTCTGATAGCACTACACCTGATTCTCATACACTATGCAGTACTTTCGTCAATCTAATCAGCGATTTCCTACCTCCATCTATGAAAACTTCAGGTGGCAAACTGTTGAATAAACACTGGTCAATTGCATTAAATTTATCGTATTACATCCTAAGCGATAGTAGTAAACAGGTTACTTATTTGGTCTTGTATATAGTCCAATAGAAATAAATACCATGATATCCGACAGTGTGGAATCATGCTCCTGTCCACTCTAAGCAAAATATTAAGCAGCATCATCCTAGTGAGACTTAAAAATGCTCTGGATTCAAAACTACGACCGGAACAGGCTGGCAGGCTTCAGGAAAAACAAATCATGTGCGGATCAAACTGCAACGCTACGCTACGCATCATCATACAACACAGCATAGAATGACGGTCAACTGGATATTTACCTCAACTTCATCGAGTTTGAAAAAGCCTTCAACGGCGTCGAACGAGAAATAATTTGTAAACTGCTTCAACACTACAGTTTTAATGCCACAAACCTTTACCAACCTCTTTCAGCAGCAACTACATGTTATATGATGAGGCTACATGCCAAGTGATTCACAATGGAAAGCTCAGTCACGTCTTTGAAGTAAAGACAGGTTGACAGGCAAGACAAGGTTGCCGCCTACTATCAGCAGTCATCCTCCTGATTGTGATCAGCTGGATCATGCTACAAACTGTGAGAAGATGGGCATACGCTGTTTGACCGATGAAAAGACCCTAGAAAATTTGAATTTCACCGATGATGATTTTCGTCTAATGTCGCAAAAACTTGAAGATCTACAAGTGAAAACGAACAAGTTGACAGAAGAGGCAGAGAAGACAGGAGTTGCTTCAGGTGAACGTAGAAAAGACAAAGGTAGAGATGATGAAGATACCCAACCAATAACAAGCATTAATCACCACCAACACGAGAAATCAAAAGGGAGTAGTCTCTCTCATCTACACACCTACCTACATATCTAGGCAGCATCGATTCAACTACAGAAAGTGGCACAGGCACAGATGAGGATGTCAAAGCCAGCCAGCCAGGATCGGAAACACAGCAACACAGGCCTTCCTGCATTAATCTGAAATCAGTGTGGAGATCTACTGCATGCACTGCACTGCACTGCACTCAGCATAAAGCGTCAACAGTGTCCTGATTATCATCACCAATGCCAGTCAAGTCACTCAGTGATTCTATGTGATGATTGAGAGACTTGGTGCATTACGAAAATCATTTCCAACAAACTACAGACATAGATCAACATCTGCCTCCTACGCTGGCTCGATACTGACACTGAAGATAAGATCAGGTGGCCAGAAAGAATAAGGAACAAGGAAATCTGGGAATGAACCAACCAAGAACTTATCAGTCAACAAATATGCAGGAGAAGTGAGTGGATATGTATTGTGTTGAACATACATTGGGAAGACCGTTTGAGGACGTCGAGCGTTAGGCCAGGCCATTGAGTGGAACTCGCATGAGAAACTACGCGCTGGGCATGCGGGGTGAGGATGACATGGAGGAGATGGTGTGAGGAAGAAATGAAAGGTTGTGGGCGGTGGTGGAGCCAGGTATTGAAGACTGGAGAGAAGAGAGTGGAATGGTGACGTGCTACTTGGTCCTTATGTTCCACTAGGAACCCAAGGGACAAGCAATAATAATAATAATAAAATCCGCCCACGCATAGGTTACTACTAAAATAACATTTACATAAAATTGCAGATTAGAAAGTGAACTGTTTCGGGTGATCACCTGAGACCATTTTAGATTGTCGGTCATAAATAATTGAAATGAAAGTCATTAGTTAGGTCACCATTAGAATTAATACCTTTTGGGTTGTTTTCTGAGACAGAGTGCTGTTATATTCTGGCAATGGCTGTTGACTTCAAAAACAAGCATATTAGTCACACAAGAGTTCAGTATTGAGAGTACTAATTTTGTATACGTAACCAGAAAGAATAACAGCCACAACGAATCAATTATGAATGTCAATTCAAGTGTTCATCTTTTTTTTCTCATTCTTTGAGATTCTGATCACAACCATCTAACTATGTCTTCTTTCTGAGTCAGCTGATGTGACACGTTAGTGACTGTAGGATCAAATCGTATGTATTACTTCGGTAGATGATAATAGTTGTCACCAGCGTCAGGCATCTCCTTCGAACAGTCAACTCAGCCATATAATTAGTTTCGTTTGTACCCACTTAGGTTAATTTTACAGGCGAAAACTAACAAGTTCATAGAAGAGGCAGCGAAGACGGGACTTCAGGTGAATATAAAGAAGACAGAGGTGATGAAGATACCGCACCACCACCATCATCATCAACAACAACAACAACAAACTCAAATCACCATGAACAAGAGAAACTTAAAGGAAGTAACCTCCTTCACCTATCTAGGAAGCACTGTTTCAACTACAGGTGGCACAGGCACAGACGCAGACGAGAATGTCAAAGTCAGAATCGGAAAAGCAAGACAGGAGTTCATCAGCCTGAAACCAGTATGGAGATCTTCTCCACTCAGCATTTGGAACAAGATGCGGATCTTCAACACCAATTCAGTCAAGTCAGTGCTTCTGTATGGCTCAGAGACTTGGCGCGTCACGAAAGGGATTTCCAATAGACTGCAGACATTCACCAACAACTGCCACCTACGCTGGCTCGTTACTGAAGATCAGATGGCCAGGATAACAAGAATAAGCAACAAGGAGCTCTGGGAACGAACCAACGAAGCAAGAACCTATCACCCAACAAATATGCAGGAGGAAATGGAGGTGGATTAGGCACGCACTGAGTAGGCCGAGTGGAATCCCCATGGGAAGCGACAAGTTGGACGTCCGAGTGTGACATAGTGGAGGTCGTGCGAGGAGGAAATGAGAGGTTGTGGGCTGTCGTGGAACCAGGTTCAAAAGATCTCAGAGAACAGAGGTCACTGAAGACGTGCTACTGAATCCCTATGTTCCATTAGGAACCCAAGGGACTACTAATAAATAAAATAGATTATTTTCGAATTATACCTTCGTCTGTATTGTTGATTAGATCAAATTAACTTTTATATTAGTTAATTAGTGGTGTATACTATGTCATAACATTTGAAGGGTACTTACCATCATATCTACATACAATTAACAAAGACAAACGATAGGATCTGTGAGATTTTTAACAACAGAAGCAGTAATGATGGACAGTGGCTAACAGTGGAATCCAGGATGCACGTTCAGTCCTATCTAGGACTCGTCAGCTGACTAGAACTACTCCTTGGTAAGCAATGTTGTTCTCACTAAGACTCTAACGTGAGAAACAGTGCTAGGTTAATGGTCAAACTTTAACACAATATACTATCAGCATATTACATAGTATTATGTTGATTAGATGTTTTCAGATAATTCTTAAAATAACAACCTTGTTACTAACGTATTACATTGGAATATTAATTTGTCATCTAGAGTCATACAGTGTTGATATTCTTGTGTACCGACAGACGCTAGGAGAGTCGGCACATACAACTAATTACCGTGGTATAAATGTAAGCTTTTCTAATCATCCTACACTAATCTATTTTTTTCTCTCGCGGCTTTGCAAATTTCAACTTATTACTAATTTCAGTTTTGGTTACCTAATTTTGTATTCGGTTCCGAAGATTAATAGACATAATTTATTTGTATGTTACTTTCATGTAATGCTGTTGTCAAGCCTACTATTTATACACGAGACACCACTTATTTTTAAGGTAGGATTCATCCTGGACTAAGATCAGTTGGAGAATTATTGAAAACATGAGAGTACTGAGCACAATTGTATCGTCCTAGTGTGCGACTCCTCAGCAGCACACATCCACGATCCAACTGAATATCTTACTTGATAATACCGCTATACCGCGGTAGGAAACTGTAGGCCATTGGGCCTCGATTCAGTGGCTGGATGAGTAACACATTCACCGTGAAACCTGAAGGTCCTGAGTTCGACCCCTGGAAGAGGGGCGCCGTGAGTGCGTACTGCTGAGGAACAGCCGTCGTATTTCGTCAGGTTTTCAATGGTTCTCCAATTAATATCAGTCTGTGAATGCTAAATTGTAAGTAAATCCCCATTAAACTCAAAATATAACATCATAACATCATGGACTGACATCAGTTGGGGAACCATTAAAAATCTGGGAGCACTGGACAGCTGTCTCATCCTAGTATGGGACACCTCAGCAGTACGCACCCACGACCCGGCTAGGGGTCGAACCCAGGACACAGTGAACGCGTTAACTATTCAGCCACTGGGTCGGTTTCCAGTGGTTCACAATTTCCAACTTCTGTCAATTCAAGACATAGCACGACTGTCGCCCGAGGTCTTCAGTTAGCATTCACTTCACTTCCGACTGGTTGACCTCATAGGTCACGGCTTCTCATTACAGCTTCCTGATATCCATCTAGATATCCCATACTAGGAAGAAACAGCTGTCCAGTGCTCCCAGATTTTCAATGTTCCTCAAACTAATCTCAATCCATGATAAAATTATCAGTTTGACTAAATGATGGTTGAAAGTAAATGAAAATTTGGGCGCCGACAGGTTTCGAACTAGCCACAACCAGATTTCCTACACAATACTCTACCAACTGAGCTACAAGACTCGACTGTTGATTAGATTTTTATTTTATTTCAATCACTAAAGTTTTGCTTAACTACCAAATGAATTCATGACGCCTTGTTCAATAATTACCTTTCATTAAAAAAAATTTGAGTATTTAAATGGAATAGCAAGCAAAAGAGAGGGAAAGAAAGAGATAATCAACACTTACAGTTCATGTGAACGGAATTGATTCACCAATTCAATATCAGTTTCGTCATCCAAAGTGACATGTCGAATACTGCGTAGCAGTTTCACCGCAAATAAGGCCTTATATAAGCAAACAATAAAAGAAGACACATAGATAATGATTATATAAGCATATATTATTCATGAAATAGCAACAGTCTACTTACGACGAGATTAACTACTACATACTAATAATGAGTGATGATTAAAGATGAAGTGAAAATTTGAACGGGGGTCTGATTCGAACCAACAAACACCGGATTTCTAGTTAGATACTCTACTAACTGAGCTACAAACTATGATTGCTGACCAAATTTTATTTCACTTCAATCATAAACAGGGTTCTGCCGACTACCATATGAGTTTATGATGTGTTTCTATTGCTTGATCGTGTTCACACTGGATTCCTTATCTCAGTTCAAATCTAACTGAATCAGAGTAAGGGAGAATCATATTGCTTATTAGCTTGACTATATGAGACAGCCGTGGTTTGGTAGACTGGTATTTATACTGAATGATGATTGAAGGTGAAATGGAAAGTTGAACTGCAGCCGGATGCAGAAAATATATCTATATACGTATATATATAGAAAAGGAGTGAAACAAGGCTGCCACCTACTATCACCCATGATATTCCTGATTGTGGTCAACTGGATCATGCAACAAACAGTGGGGAGCGAGAAGGGGAGGATACGCTGGACCGCGGAAGAGAACCTGGAAGATTTAGATTTCGCCGATGACTTGTGTCTGATGTCACACAAACTTGAAGATCTACAGGCAAAAACTAACAAGTTGATAGAAGAGGCAGGGCAGCGAAGACAGGACTTCAGGTGAATATAGAGAAGACAGAGGTGATGATGATACCCAAACAACACCACCAACAACAACAAACTCCAATCAGCATCAGTGGGGGAAACTTAAAGGAAGTAGCCTCTTTCACCTACACCTATCTAGGCAGGCAGCACTGTTTCAACTACAGGCACAGGCACAGACGAGAATGTCAAAGCCAGCCAGCATCGGAAGGACAGCAAGACAGGCTTTCATCAATCTGAAACCAGTGTGGAGATCTTCTGCACTCAGCATGTGGAACAAGATCCGGATTTTCAACACCAATTCAGTCAATTCAGTGCTTCTGTATGCTTCAGAGACTTGGCGCGTTATGAAAGGGATTTCCAACAAACTACAGATATTCATCAACAACTGCCTACGCTACCTCGTTACTGAAGATCAGACGGCCGGAAAGAACAAGCAACAAGGAACACTGGGAATGAACCAGTCAAGAACCCATCGCTGAACAAATATGCAGAAGGAAGTGGAAGTGGAGATGAATCGGGCAAACGCTGAGAAGACCGACTGGGGACATTACGCGTCAGGCCAGGCACTCGAGTGAAACCCCGATGGGAAGCGACGAATTGGGCGTCCGAGGCAAAGGTGACATGGAGGAGATCGTGCGAGGAGGAAATGAGAGGTTGTGGGCTGTCGTGGAGCCAGGTTCAAAAGATTTCAGAGAACAGAGCGCATTGGAGATGTGCTACTGAATCCCTATATTCCACTAGGAACCCAAGGGACAAATAATAATAACAGTTATTCCATATAATGTTCCGTATAAAGCGCCTAAGTTTTCTTTACAGTGTTTATCTGCTTATACACTAGGAACCCAAGGGACAAATACTAATAATATATATAGGAAAATATTCGGAAATAATGGTTTAACTTTTCTGTTCTAGAAAAATTAAGTTTAATTCCCCGTTTAAATAAGCAATAGACTGATGGGGTGATTAGTCACTGTTAAAAAATGTAACTAGATTATATAGGTATTTCCATACAACAATAACAGAGTTGATGTTAGTTGGTTGGAGGCAATCGGCAGAAAGCCCTAAACGTTTGGCACTCATCGGCAAGGCTTATCCGCCTGAGATCCGAACCCGTGTCACCCAGTGGTGTAATCAGCGACAGGCGGGACATCAGTTCTGTCGAGGTTGCAGATCAATACATACCAATCAATACATAACAGACTTGGACAAAATCCCTCTTACGAGACAGTGTTCTTAAAAGTTCTTACAACAATTCTTGCATAATGGTAACAATATATAATAATGTTGCTACTTGATGACGTCAAGGTTGAATAATAACTAGAAAGTCGTTCAAGTCGTTTGTAAGGTGTATTTAGATTACAAAGGGGTTAAAAGGTGGTAAAGTTAATAAACAATCAAAGGAGTTTAAGTTGTTATTCATTGTAGACTGACATGAGTTGGAGGAACAAAAGAAACCTGGGAGCATTGGACAGCTGTTTCGTCCTAGTATGGGACTGACTCCTCAGCACTGCGCACCCGCGACTTTCAGGTTCCGCGACCAGCGCGTTACCATTGAGCTAGCCACTGGGTCAGAATCCAATGCTTCATATTTTCAACTTCTGTTAGCTCACGATGTAGTGCAACCGCCACCCAATGTCATCGTTGAGTAACTGTCCTCATGACCATCAGGCTTTGACTCCACCGGTCACGACTCTCCTTGGAACTTGGGGAATACTTATCGAAGCTAGTTACTTATGAGCACCAGTTGAATTGAATTTTTGAAAGAGTTGTGGAGATTTGGAAATATTTTAAGTTGTTATTCAGCGTAGACTGACATGAGTTGTAGGAACAAAGGAAACCTGGGAGCACGGTTGCTCTATATCGTGAGCTAACAGAAGTTGGAAATATAAACCATTGGATTCTGGCTCAGTGGCTCAATGGTAACGCGCTGGCCGCGGAACCTGAAGGTCACGGGTTCGATCCATGGCGGGGTCGTGGGTGCGCACTACTGAGGAGTCCCATACTAGGACGAAACAGCTGTCCAGTGCTCCTAGGTTTCCAATGTTCCTCTCCAACTGATGTCGGTCTACGATGAATAACAACTTGAAATATTTCTGAATCTCCACAACTCCCTCAAAAATTCAATCAAAGGATTTCTTAAAAGTTACAGTTATTGGAAAGATTAAGTGTAGCAACGCTAGAAGCTACTAAATATAAAAGTAATAATAATGGTAGTGATGATTTAAGGGTACAAAAGATTCATACAACACGAGAAGTTGAAAAAGCAAAAACAAACGAACAAATCAAGACCAAATTAAAGCCAAAGTAGCAAAAAGGACTGTAAATACTTCTTTTGTACACAAATGTCAGGCTTTAGTTCATGGATATCCAAGACTTCTGTTGTTTTTAGAAGTTGAAAACGGAAGAAATATGAGATGTTTGAGCGAATTTGATAAAAAACCTTAAAATCAGTCTTTGAGTTGGTTGAATGGTTGGAGTTGATTAGATGGTAAAGGATAGAACTTTTAAAAATCCTTCCTTGCACCATTATAAAACCAGGTTGGAATATATACTCATATACATGTTGACAGTAATCTCTGACTACAGCCGATTTACCTTGCTCCACAGGATCAGGTGAACTGGTAGATACACATAGATGTGGCCTGTCGAGGGATATTGTCTTTTACTCTTGTTTGGTCTTGGTTTATTTCTTTCCTTTCGTTTTTTCACCTTTCCCTGTTAGATTAATCTTTTATACCCCTAAATCGTCACTACCATTATTATTATTATTATTATTATTATTATTATTATTATTACATTTAATAGCTTTCGGTATTATCTCATTTAATCTTCCCAATAACTGCAACTTTTGTGGTAATGTGATAGAGGACGCGCTTTTCGTCTTATTTGGGACTAGTCAGCTGGATGTACCTGCACCCTAGTGCGGAGGTATGTTGTTCCCACTGAGAATAACACCCGTTGTACAGGAGGTGGCTATAGTGCCTCCGTGGTCTAGTGGGTAACGCCTTGTCGTTTGAAGTCATGGGTACAAGGTCCGAGTCTCATTGGGAACACAATCACTCCTCACCGGGGTGTAGATACATCCAGCTGACAAGTCTAAAATAGGACGAGACGTAAGTTAAGCTGGGTTTCCCTGCTAGCCACAACCAACCACATTACCAAGATTTATATTCAGGCAACATCAAGGCATTCACATAAGGGGCCCATATATCAACAGAGATCGAACAATTCGATCCAGTAAAACAACGGAGAATTAGAAGCATATCAATAAATAGTAATAACTGCAACTTTTCAGTTTATTCTAATTAACTTGACTCATTCATATTACTTAATCCTTTGATTGTTTATTAACTCTACCACATTTCCACCACTTTATAATCTATATGCACCCTGTAAACGATTTTAAAAAACCTTACGTAACCTCTTCTAGTTATCATTCAAACTATGTCATCCCTCAACTAGCAACATTATTATTACAACCACCATTATTGTTGTTTCAACCTCCCATTATTTAAGTCAAATCTTTCTCACAGATTTCAGTCTTTAGATATCAGTGAAGATGACCCTTTTCCTAACCTGTTCATCGAATCAACACCCAACACATATACCAGAGATTTGGAAAAATTTTACTATCAATAAAACAAAGAATATGAAGTGTGACAGGACTATAAAAATTAGATTGTTGAAAGAAGTGTGATTATATTGATATGATTATGAGCGATGATAGTTTATGCTTGAGACTTTATCATCATCACCGCGCAATGTATAAAACAACGAATTTAATATGGAATTACATTCTAGTACAGTGCTCAAGTTTTACACTTATATTAGGATGTTAACCAATGAGATAAGATGACTTGAAATGATTTCCTAGTCGGAAAATGATCAACTGACAATAACAAAAGTTCTACAGAAATGTGGGTAACAGATTTCAAGATATTTTCGAAGAAGACTTAGACGATGAAAAGTATTTAGTGAAGAAGATGCTATTTATGAGTTATTACGAAAGGAAACAATAGAGTTTTTTTGACATTAACTGGTTTTTGGACAGCAACTAATTTCCAGTCCACTGGTTTCAAGTGCTGACAGAATTCTACCGATCATTTTGCAGTGTGATCAGGCTAGGAGACCCACCATCACTATGTATACTATGGTATTCATCATGAACTCTAATCAGTTGGGGGAACATTGGAAACCTGGGAGCACTGGACAGGTGTTCATTTCTACTATGGAACCCCTCAGCAGTGCGCACTCATGACCCCACCTCGTCAGGGATTGATGGTTACGTGGTCCAACGGTAACGCGCTAGCCACCGAACCTGAATTCCCTGGTTTCGATCGCTGGCAGGGCCATTGGTGCACGCTGTTGAAGAATTCTGTAGTAGGGTGAAACAGCTATCCAGTGCTCCCAGGTTTTCAATGTTTTTCCAACTGATACCAGTCAATAAATAAATTTTCACGGACCTCAAGATTGCACTTTGACTGGTGTTTCATCAAGGTGGTAGATAAGGCTTGCTTATGAGTGCCAATAAACACAAAATTTAGATCTAGGGCTTCCTACCTATAATATAAAAAATATCAGTCACAGGACACCGCAATGGAATGTTTAAGCTGAGTCACTGTATTGCAAAATGACTGATAAAATTAGGTCAGTTACTCAGAGCTACACAGTATGAAATAAGTAAATCTCCAGTAACGAATCAACGAATCAAATCCCGTTCTACAGGAAGTCAATCATGGCCCTTATAGCTCAGTGGTATCATTTCTGACTACAGGACTGGATGATTAAGGTTCGATTCTTTCATGAGTTATCAGTACCCAACCAAGTTTCAGATACGCCTTGCTGTCAAGTATCAACAAGTACATAGGTTGGATCAGTCGGAGTGTTCTAGATAAAGATATTAATCTGATAAAATGCAAATAGTAAAAATTTTTCAATTTTTTTTGTTTTTCAAAATGTTTTCTGCACCACTTATTTGTTTTATATAACAATATTTTCAGGAATTAATTAACCGTGTAATTATTACTATTATTTTATTATTATTTGTCCTTAAGGTTCCTAATGGAACATAGGGATTCAGTAGCACGTCTCCAGTGCACTCTCTTCTCTGCAATCTTTCCAACCTGGTTCCACGACAGCCAACAAACTCCCATTTCTAACTCACACCATCTCCTTCATGTCACCCTCAACTCCAACGCCAAACTCGTCGCTTCCCATCTCACTTCCAGTCTAGTACCTGGTCTGACGCGTGATGTCTCCGAATGGCTTTCTCGGTGTATGCCCAATCCATCTCCAATTCCACTTCCACTTCCTTCCAGTGCATATTTGTTCAGCGATAGCTTCTCGCTTCGTTGGTTCGTTGCCAGCCAACCAACCAGCCAGAGTTCCTTCCTGTTTATTCTTATTATTCTGGCCATCTCATCTGAGCTTCAGTAACGAGCCAGAGTAGGCAGTTAGTTATTCATGAATGTCTGTAGTTTGTTGGATATCCCTTTCGTAAAGCACCAAGTCTCTCAACCATCACATGGAAGCACTGACTTGACTGATGTTGGTGTTGAAAATCCGGATCCGTATCCGGATGTTGTTGATGCTTTACGCTGAGTGCAGTGCAGTCGATCTCCACACTTGTTTTAGGCTAATGAAAGCCTGTCTTGCTGTCTTTCCCTATGCTGCCTGGATTCAACGTCCTCGCCTTTGCCTGTCCCACATGTAGTTGAAACAGTGCTGCCTGCCTATATAGGTGTAGGTGAAAGAGGCTACTTCCTTCACGTTTCTCCCGTTCATGGTGATTGGTGTTTGTTGTTATTGTTGGTTGATTATCATCATCACCTCAATCTCTATCTTCTCTACGTTCACTTGAAGACCTGTCTTCGCTGCCCTGCGCAGCCCAGCCTCTTCTGTCAACTTGTTAGTTCTCGTCTGTACATCTTCGGGTTTGTGCTACCAGACATTAGACATAATTCATCGTTGGCGAAATCTAAATCTTCTAGGTTCTTTTCCACAGTCCAGCATATCCCCTCTTCTCACAGCTCCTCACTGTTTGCTGCATGATCCAGTCCATTGCAGTCGACTACAATCAGGAATATGATGGGTGATAGTATTTGGCAGCCTTGTTTCACTCCTGTCTCTTGTCTTCACTTCAAAGGCGTGACTGAGCTCCCCATTGTGAATTACTTGGCATGTGGCGTCTTCATATAGTTCTTGAGTGAGATTGATAAAGGTTTGTGTCACTTAAACCGTAGTGTTGAAGCAGCTGCCTGGTAAATGACTTGTCGGTCGACGCTGTCGAAGGCCTTTTCAAAGTCGATGAAGTTGAGGTGTAGAGTTGGCTGCCATTCTATATTCTGTTCAATGATGATGCAAAACGTTGCAATTTGGTCCGCACATGATATATACTTCCTGATGCCAGCCAGCCTGTTCGGGACGTAGTTTTGAATATCCCAGCTGTCTAGTGCTCCCAGATTTTCAATGGTTCCCCAACTTATGTCACTCCATGATGAATACTACTTTTAAAATTAAACAAATCCCCATTCATCTCAGAAATACAAACCATATGCATTAACAACTGTATTTAAACACGATGAATAAAATAATTTCTGCCGCATATGCATGACTAAGTTTAAATGTCGTTTATAATGATGAATACAATTAGATGGATTATCAGTATGCATTAAACTGTAAATAAATCTAGTTGATGAGTTCTAAATATGCAGATGAAATGTACGAATGAGTCTAGAATGAACAATCAATTTGACTTAATTTAAAATTATTTTGATCATAATCTTCATATTACCGGGTGCACAGTAAATAAATTATATGAGTATGAATTATGCATAGAATGATACCTGGAGAGGACCATTAAAGTCATAATCTAAGCAAATGAATATGTTACATTTCTCTCAGTGTGATTTTGTTCCACAATAATTGCTATTTGACCCCCAGCCCCACTTCTACTGATAGCGTCTAGACAATGGTTGAAAAGTTTAGAAATACAAAGAAACTATTTCATCCTATTTCAAGTAAGATCCAGTAGAAGTGAATACATTTTTAAGCTATAAAACATATACATTACAGCATATAACTTTAAGCTATTCAGTTAGGATGGATTGATGATACTTTCTTAGGTCGAAATGATCGGTCAAACACAATGATAAATAGACGGAAAAGATCAATCTACAACCTTGCACACAAGTGCATCGGTTCATATTCCCACACTTCACAGTAGTAAACAGAGAACAAGTGGATAGAAAAAGACTGATAGCAAAGGTGGGTGGGAGTTTTAAATAACTAAGGTTAGTCAAGGGATTGAAGCTTTAAAAGATGTCAAGGAGTGAAAATATCTGAGCTACTGTGACTGATATTAACCAACACTCCTCAATCACTGATTAATATTGTCTTGCAGACCCCAGTTAGGTAGTCAACACTTCCTTACACGTCTCAGAACAACAGTCAGAGACTTTATCCGCTGGTGCCACGTTTTGATCTAACAACTCTGAGCCTTCTTCTTCCAACCTAATCTAACTTCTCCAAGCAATACACATAGAGGTAGTTGAACACTTGTTTGTATGAATTGAAACATAACTAGTTCTCATAACCAACTTCGTTGGTTCTATGAATCCCTAAATCCTATTATAAATGTAAAACCATTAAGTCTGTAATGTTGACTAAAATATCGGTGATTAACATGGGAAAGATTTTCACCAAGAAGAAAACTTTAGATCAATTCATCGATCAAACAGAAACTATAAGTATTGATTCACTAACCTTTGCAACTGATTCTTCCCCAGCTAAAACTAGAAATTTAGCCATATTCAAACGTCGTGTTAATAATGTCCATTGAAGTAATTCAGTATAAGGATAACGAAAATATCGATCTGATTGATTGATTTCATTGAATGAAGTTGAATTAGGCAAATGTTGAGAAGAATGTTGTCGACTTATACTACTTATTGGATTTTGAGTAGTTGAATCTTTATGCATAAGTAAAGAAGATATCTGTCCAGGATTTACTGTACAACATGTATGTGTCTTTTCTGATGTACTGAATAGTGAATTGTTGGAACGAAAGGGTTTATTATCTGCTTGTGCATGCTATGAAAATATAAAAACAAAAAGAAGACATGAGCAAAAGAAACATCTTAGTAAAGTAAACAGCGGAAACTATGTTGAATAATGGTGAATAAAGTGAAGTGTTATCAGTTAAAGGATATCAAAATGTTCAAGAAAGTTGGTTGAATAGTAGCAAGATCAAAATCAGTTAATGTTAACGCCTAGTTAATTAATTCACTAGTTACTAGCCGGTCCTAAGCCTGGATAAAGAGAGAAGGTTGGGCATAGGGCTATCAATCCTACCCGATAAAACCAATCCAATCGCTAAAGAAACTTCAAAGTACAAAGCAAAAAATATAACAAATAAAAATAAACTTATTCCTCGTCGGAATCATAGAGACGAAGTGACGCCAGTGGGTGAAAGCTTGACTTCGGGAAGCCAGTCGGCTGATGTGTCTTCTGTCGATGAAAGCGAAAGTGAATATGGGGACATGGAATGTCCGCACCATGTATGAACTTGGCAAGGCTGCCCAGATCGCAAAGGAGATGAGAAGGTTTGGCATGGAAGTGCTAGGAATCTGCGAAAGCAGGTGGAATGGAAGTGGACTCTCCAAACTCTCAACTGCAGAGGAGCCAATAATCTACTCCGGTCACCCAAACAACAACCACGAGCTTACTGAGGGAGTGGCAATCATGATATCCCCAAGAGCATCGAAGGCTCTCATGCAGTGGGAACCAATCTCCTCCAGGATCATGACAGCAAGATTCAAGATGGAAAGTCACAATCATACAATGCTAAGCTACACACCTACAAATAATACAGACACAGACCAAGAGAAGAAGGAGGAATTCTACAGACAACTAAAATTATTACTAAACAAGACTCTAGTTGCAGACATCAAAATTCTAATGGGTGGGATGACATCAATGCCGAACTGGGAGCGGACAACACAGGAAGAGAACCAAGCATGGGTTGAGAAGTACTCGGTGAAATGAATGAGAATGGAGAATTGTCTGCAGACTTCTCCGTATACAACAATTTGACGATTGGAGGCAGTGTGTACAAACACAAGGATATTCACAAAGCAACATGGATTCGATTTCACCGGATGGACACACTAAAAATCAGAAGAACATGAGCAGGCATGAGCAACGAAAAGAGGAACTGAGTACAACCTATAAAACACAAGACTGGATAAAGAAGAGAAGAAGAGTGAGCGCACAGACAAAAGACACTTCTACCACACACTGGCAAGTGAAGCAGAACAGGCTGCTGCTGGTAGGAGAGACCTGAAAACATTGTATCAAATAACCAGGTTACTATCTGGGAGGAAAGAGATCAACACAGATGAAACCAATAAAAGATGATGAAGGAAATCTGATTACTGAAGAAGAGAAACAAAGGAAGCGATGGGATCACCACTTCAAAAAACTCTTGAATTGACTACCACCACCACCTTCAACTCATCCCCAAATACCACCAGCAACCGCAGAATTATCAGTGGGTACAAGCCCTCCAACAAATGCGGAAGTCTTGAACGCCACAAAGTTGCTGAAATCCGGGAAAGCAGGAGAACCAGATGGAATTTCGCCAGAAGCACTGTAAACAGACGCAGAGATGACTGCGGACATGCACACACCACTATTGCAGATGGTTTGGAAGGAAGGAAGGAAACGTACCCACCGATTAGATGAAGGGCTACCTTGTCGTGGACTGGATTATGCAATGAATTGTGGGGAGCGAGAAGATGGGCATGCGCTGGCTGGACCGATGAAAAGACCCTAGAATATTTTCATTCCGATGATGGTGATTTTTGTCAAATGTCTTATATCACACAAACTCGAAGATCTACAAGCGAAAACTAATAAGTTGATAGAAGAGGCAAAGCAGCAAAGACGGGACTTGCTTCAGGTGAATGTACAGAAGACAGAGGTAGAGGTGATTAAGATACCCAACAAACAATAACAAGTACCAATGACCATCAACAGGAGAAATCTAAAGGAAGTTGTCTCTTTCACCTGCCAACCTTGGTAACATCATCTCAACAGCAGGCGGCACAGATGAGGATATCAAAGCCAGGATTGGAAGGACAGCAACATAAGCCTTCCTTCACTAATCTGAAATCAGTGTGGAGATCAGCTGCAGTGCACTGCACTGCACTCAGCATAAAGCGTGAACAAGATCCGAATTTTCAACACTAACTCAGTCAAGTCACTCAGTGCTTCTAAGTGATGGTTCAGAGACTTGGCGCGTTACGAAAAGCATTTTCAACAGACTACAGACATACATTACCAGCTGACACCTACGCTCACTCGATACTGAACATCAGATCACAAGGCCAGAAAGAATAAGTAGCAAGGAAAATCGACAGTCTGGCAATGAACCAACCAAGAACCTATCGATGAACAAATATGCAGAAGAAAGTGGAAATGGATTGGACATACACTTAGAAGAACATTTAGGACATTACGTCTCAGGCCAGGCCGTCGAGTGGAGACCGAAGGGGAAACGACGAGTTGCGCGTCCGTGGCAGAGGTGACATGGAGGAGGTCGTGTGAAGAAGAAATGAAAGCTTGTGGGCAGTCGTCGTGCGGTCAGGTTCAAAAGGCTGTAGAAAAGAGAGTGAAATGGTGACGTGCTACTGAAGCCCTATGTTTCACTAGGAACCCAAGGGACAATTGATAATAATAATAATAGTAATAATAACCTCCGATACCGGAAGGCTGAAGAACGAGAAGGAGTGTACTCTTTTTAGAAACAACTTTTTTAACCTCATTCTCATAGGAAGGATAGAATCATCAGGGACTTCCATCATAACGTAGTTATTTACATTATGACGGTGACTACTTTTCATTTTACTATTACTCAACAGACCTTTCCGGTACACAGTGACTTCAAGGCAAAAGCTTTCCGTCCGGAGTAGCTGGTTAGATAATTATGAGATGCAAGTTCATCCACTACGACAAGGTAGCAACTGTCATGTTGTTTAGTGTTAATTTCTTTCTTGACAGTATTAACATTACAAGTGCTTCCTTTAACAACCGACTAATAAATACTTCTTCGTAAAGTTCAAATGACAACTTTCTATAACTGGTAGTAATCAGTATAAAAGTGAGTTTTTGATGTACATACATGATTCCATATATGAAAAAGAACTTTGATAATGATATTCGTTATTGGGACTACTTGATCTGCTGTATATATATATATATATATATATATATATATATATATATATATATATATATATACACTCACGCTAGTCAATAGCTGCAGCCATTCAAGGGTTACCTACACTTTTGTTATCGTCCAGATTAGAGTAATAAATCTAGAAATTCTATTCCATGTTTAAGAATGATGGAATTATCTGTATCGAAATGTTTATAAACAGGGGGTATACTTATATAAGCTCAGATTATCCAGTTCTATTGAATTAAGTTGTTTTCACCTTTTTTTATTGTATCACTAAATAATTTTTGAGCACAATAAAACGATTATAGGTTAAATAGATGTAGCTGTTGGTAAACTCAGTCGGTTTTATGAAGGCTTAAATATAATACTAACAAATAAGACTAGTCATAAAATATTTACCATCATAAGGTGGACTCACTATGCATAAATTAAAATTCTTTCTAGAGGTTTATTAGTTGATTCTAGATAGGAATTCATTATGAACTGAGATCAGTTGGAGGTATATTGGAAACCTTGTGGGTACTAGATAGCTGTTTCGTCTTAGCGGGATCATGGATCCGCACTCTTGAGGAGTCCTATGCTAGGAGGAAACAGCTGTTTGATGCTCCCAGATTTCCAATCTTCCTCTAATTAATGTCATTCCATGATGAATTCTAACCTAAAATCAATTGATAAACTTCCACAAAACCTTCAGATAGAACCTGAAGGCCTTGGGTTCGATCCCTGTTGGGGTCATGCGTGAACACTTCTAACCCGTCTCAAACTAGGACGAAACAGCTGTTTGGTGCCCCTTGGTTTCCTTCAACTGATGTCAGTTCATGATGAATTCTAACATAAAAGTAAATTATTGTTGTTTTAACAGGGGATCACTCAACATTTAATCAGATCAGTAATTTACACCAACTACTTCAGTTTGTCGCTAATTATTGATATAATTGTTAGTCTCCGTTATTGTTGTGCGTTCGATCTCTATTGGCATATGGGCATGTATGTGGATGCCTCGATATTCCCTGAATGTCAATTATAGCAATTTCTTTGGTTATGGCTAGTAGAGGAATCCAGGATGCGCGTTTCATCCTATTTGTGACCCGTCAGCTGAATGTACCTGCACCTCAGTGCGGAGTGATGTTGTTCCCACTAAGACTCGGACCTGGTACCCATCACTTCAAATGTCAAGGCATTATACACTATGCCATGGAGTAACGATAGCCGCTTCTTGTACAACAGCTAGTAGTTCTGACTATTTATTGATATATACTTGTAATTCTTCGTTGTTTTTATTGAATCGAATTGTTCCACCTCTATTGGCATATGACCTCCTATGTGGATGCCACTATATTGCCTGAATGTTAATTTGGCTACTTTTTCTATCCATTCAGTGAGGATGGTGGGCAGGTACAAAGAATGATGAAAGAATGAAATAATGACATGAAATTGATTTTCTTTCAAAATATCACTCATTGAAATCTATACAAATCATTGACTTAATTACTTTTTATAAATGAAATAAAAATAAAATCATGAGAACTGACAATCATTTAGTCAGAGAAAAACGGAAAAAAGATAAAACTGAACAAAAATAAACCTTTTTTGATTTTTATAAAGTGAATACAAGAAATGAAATCGATAGACAGAATAAGCTCATGCTTATGTAAGTCGAAAGAAAATGAATTGAATCTGTGAATATAAGTGGCTACATATCAATTTATTTCAGTATATGAATGGCATCTCTAAAGGATTTGAGAACAATGAGAAGTAACAGTGGTTTAAATGTAAACTTAGAAAAAACTGTACATAGAATTGAATATGAATAGTAGTTAAAACAAAGGCTAAAAAGATGAAAAAGGTA